AGCTCCAAACATGACAGGTAAAATAATAAAGCTCTCAACCAAAATTGCTAAACTCTTTCCAAGTTGATTGTGTAGGCTTGTATTGGACAGTACTGTAAAAACTATTAGCCCCCATGTATATATCCCCCCATTTTCTGTTTAACAGAGAGAAGATTTTTTCAACACATTTCTAAACATAATAGTTTTAATAACTTATTTCTAATAACTGATTTATTTTTTCTTTGCTATGATGACAGTACATAATATTTTACTAGACATTATTCAAGACACTTCTGTACAGCTTAAAGTAACATTTAAAGGCTGAACTAAGTTAACTAGGCAGGTTAGGGTAATTAGGCAAGTTATTGTATAATGATGGTTTGTTCTGTAGACAACCAAAAACAAATACTGCTTAAGGCAGCTAATAACACGGACCTTAAAAAATTCTGCTTTTATTCTAGCCGAAATAAACCAAATACTTGGTTAAAGCAAATAGAAAACTTTCTCCGGAAGAAAAAATATTTTAGGAAATACCGTGAAAAATTCCTTGCTCTGTTAAAGATCTTTTTGGAAATATTTGAAAAAGCAAAAGTCAGCTAAGTCATTCAAACTCTTCACATGTAATGGGAACTAAATTGACGCTGATGAAGCATTAGCAGACATTTGAGCAACAACAACAACACTGCCACACACTTTATTCGCACTTGCCATTATTCTAAACATGTCCTGTGCATGCACATGTTGTCATCTGTTTTTAGATAATTTTAGGGTGTTTATACGGACACAAACATCCCGTTTGTAACAGTAACCCATTTCAGTCCAAAAAAACACAGCTGTTAAGTAATCGAGCATGCTTTTTCATGAATACTTTGTCAATTGTAAGTGTTCATGATAGTAGAGTAGTTCAACTCATTACTACACAATATATCCGGATAACATGGAATAACAAGGTGACTGATGGTTATGAACAAATTAATGTTCTAACAATGTTTGCAGAATGATAATAAGAAACGCTCATTTTTTTAACCATAAAAAATTGTTTCTAAAATTGATTTAAAAAAAGGAATTAAAATGTGTCTAATGAGGTTTAAATGTTTTAATGGCTTGGTTAATGAAGAAAATTGTTTCTAAAATTGATTTAAACATTATTAAATGTGTCCAAGGACGTTTTAAATGTTTTAATGGCTCATTTAATCAAGAAAATTGTTTCTAAAATTGATTTAAACATATTATTAAATGTGTCTAATGACATTTTGATTGTTTACAGTTGATCAAACTGTTTTTCATCATTTAATTTGAACATCACATTTTCTAAGCTTAGTATCTAGTTGTCAAATCAAGCAAACATATTTTGTGTATTAAGTGGTTTTTAAATATTGTGTTGTAAATGTTACAACATTTACTAACACATTATTTAATAAACCTGATTATTACACAGAACTAAATGTTCAAACCAACGTTAACTAAAATTAATAAACACTATATAATTTGAACTAATAGAGTAAATTAATGTTAATAGATGAAACCTTATTCTAAAAAGTTTTCTATTTAAGTAGATCAAATGAAAACAATTGGAAACTAAAAATATTGTCTAGATAAAGAAAATGGATGCATAATAATTAATAAAAATTTACATAAACTTAAATGTATTTTTTATTTAGACACAAAAGAAGTTATTTTGAACAATGTTGTAACCATTGAGTTGTTTTTACAACTACGGAAGTCAATAGTTACAGGTTTCAAACATTTTTCAAAATATCTTCTTTTGTGTTAAACAGGAAGAAGAAACTGGAATATTTTTAAACACTTGAGAGTAAGTAAATGATCTCTTCAAGGGCGAGTAAATGAACTACCCCTTTAAGTCTGTAAATATGTTTTTGATCCACTTCACAAGTATGCATACCTGATTGAGATAAGTGAATCTGAGGTTTCTGGGTAATGATGTCTGTGCTCTGCTTTTCTTCCACCCATCAAAGTCTGCCTCATGTTGGTTTTTAAGATGACAGGTGTGTGTCTCTTCCACACGCTGCTCTTCGGTTTGTGCAGAGATGCTGTTCTTTGATGTGGTTGTGAGTGTTTTTGATGGCATAATAAAAGTGAACGAAGTTTAAACCTGTGAACGACGGAAAATGGAGCACATGATGATAAGCAGAAGATAAAACATCACTATTTCCCATTCAGCTGCTTTACTCAATATGTATAAACACAGAGCATGTGAGTAATTAGAAACTGACTTAAAGTTTCCTTTACAGGGGACCTATTACGCCCCTTTTTTTCCTGTCTCTGATGTCCCTAGAGTGTTTGTGTGAAATTTCAGCTCAAAATAACACACGAATAATACTTTATAACTCTTTGAAACTGCCCCTTTTAGGCCTTGTACCAAATTGTGCCTTTTTGGTGACTGACGCTTTAAATTCAAATGAGATTGTTCTCTTTTCAAAAGAAGGCGGGGCTACAAATGCCTGTGTGTCAGCATAGTGGCAGATTCATAACATTCATTTTCTTTCTTTTCGGCTTAGTTTCTTTATTAATCTGAGGTCGTCACAGAATGAACCGCCAATTTATCCAGCATTTGTTTTACGCAGCGGATGCCCTTCCAGCCGCAACCCATTACTGGGAAACCCATACACCCTCATTCACACACATACATACACTATGGACAATTTAGCCTACCCAATTCACCTGTACCACATGTCTTTGGACTGTGGGGGAAACCGGAGCACTCGGAGGAAACCCACGCAAATGCAGGGAGAACATGCTAACTCCACACAGAAATGCCAACTGAACCAGCTGAGGCCCGAACCAGCAACCTTCTTGCTGTGAGGCGACAGCACTATCTACTGGGCCACCGCGTCGCCCTGGATGCTTTCATCCCTAACATAAAAAAAAGAGTAGTAAATTTGCCCAGAATGTATTGTTGAGTTCTTTAAAAGTTTCAAAGCTTTTTCTCAAAATATGTGTCAAAATATGATTTCTCACCCGAAATCATTCTGCTAGCTGAAACACAGAACATGTTATGGCCAAATTAAGACTCAAAATCACCCCAGAGTGGATGAAATTATCCCCATAAGTTACATAAGAGTTAATTACAATTAATTCACATTTTTGCAAACAAAACTCAAAAATGTCTCATTTGCCTACATTTTTAATGTTAAGAATTCGCATCACACAAAACAAATACAGTATATGCAGTTGAAGTCAGAATTATTAGCCTCCTGTTTAATTTTTTGCCCAATTTCTGTTCAACAGAAAGATTTTTTTTAAACACATTTCTAAACATAATAGTTTTAATAACTCATTTCTAATAACTGATTAATTTTTTCTTTGCCATAATGACAGTACATAATATTTTACTACATATTTTTCAAGGCACTTATATACAGCTTAAAGTGGCATTTAAATACTTAACTAGGTTAATTAGGTTAACTTGGCAGGTTAGGGTAATTAGGCAAGTTATTGTATAATGATGGTTTGTTCTGTAGACTATCGGAAAACAAAATTAGGTTAAAGGGGCTAATAATATTGACCTTAAAATTGTCTTTTAAAAAATTATAACTGCTGTTATTCTAGAAGAAATAAACCAAATAAGACTTTCTCCAGAAGAAAAAAATATTATCAGACATACAGTGAAAGTTTCCTTGCTCTGTTAAACATAATTGAAGAAATATTTTAAAAAGCAGTAAAAATTCAAAGGGGGGCTAATAATTCTGACTTCAACTGTTTACAAAAATGAATCAAGTCTCCTAAACTCTGAGGAACTTCTGAGCTTTAGATTTTGACTGAACTTTTTCTTTTCTGACCTGATCAAAAGCATGCATTCAACAGCTACATGACACGAGTGTTAATCTGAGTTTCCACATCAAACTGGCAACTAAGAATGAAACTCAATACTAAAGCGCAGTTCTCGCTCACACACACACAGATCTGCGACCACAACACACACACTAAGCATCTGACATGAAGAGGTTTCCTTCAGACTGAGCTTCAGCTGATTTACTCACACCAACTGCATGTAAAATCATAAGCGAGACTTACTGTGATGTTTGGGTTGAGTCAGTGTGTGTGTCCGTAGGAGGAGGCTGCAGGAACTCTCTCTGTTTCTCTCTCTCGAATGTGTAGAAACCTCTGATTTCATTCAGGCATCATCTGAAGATAAACTCCACCCTGATGTGTTTCTCCACCCCTCAGAGTCTCTCGCTTTTCCTCTGACTGTGCATTTCAGAGAACCGCTCAAGCTTTCTAGATGACATCTCAGAAATGACAGCTTTGAGACCTGTTCATGTTGTTCATGCAATTCAAATATACAACGGAGATCAAATTTGGAGATCAAGTTATGTTGTGGTTGCACCGTGACAGCAATGTTGAGTGTAATCAGTTACAAAGTAACACAGTAAAAGTAATTAAATAACTTTTCTGCTGAAAGTAAAACGCATACACGTGATAAAAGCTATCTCTTCCATGTTAAAAAGAAGTTTTTGTCCTAACCATCTGTGATGACAATGCATGAAATTTCTATTTTAGAAATTTTAATTTCTTTAATTATGTGCTTTGTTCAGTGTTAAATGCAATTAATGTGAGTTTAAATAGCATTTTACATGACATTTATTGTCATACAGTGCATACGGAAAGTATTCATAGCGCTCCACTTTTTCCAAATATTTTTGTTACAGCATAACATATTCTTAACATAACTTATTCCAAAATACAAAAAAATATCCAAAACTTCTACACACAATACCCTATAATGACAATGTGAATTTTTTTATTTTTATTAAAATTAATTAAAAATAAAAACCCTGAAAAATCACATGTACATCAGTATTCACAGCCTTTGGCGAGAAGCTCTAAATTGAGTTCAGGTACATTGTTTCCACTGGTCATTCTTGAGATGTTACAGCAGCTTTATTGGGGTCACCTGTGTTCAAATCAGTTGATTGGACATGATTTGAAAAGGCATACACCTGTCTACATAAGGTCCCAGGGTTGACAATGCATGTCAAAGCACAAACCAAGCATGACAAAAGAATTGTCTGTAGACCTCCGAGGCAGGATTGTCTTGAGGCACAAGACTGGAGAAGGTTACAGAAAAATTTCTGCTGCTCTGAAAGTTCCACTGAGCACAGTAGCCTCCGTTATCTGTAAGTGGAAGATGTTTGGAACCACCAGGACTCTTCCTAGAGCTGGCCCGCCATCTAAGCTGATTGAGTCTCAGGGCCTTAATCAGGGAGGTAATCAATAACCTGATGGTCACTCTGTCTGAGCTCCAGCATTCTTCTGTGGAGAGAGGAGAACCTCACAGAAGGACAACCATCCGTGCAGCAATCCACCAATCAGGCCTGTATGGCAGAGTGGGCAGACGGAAGCCACTCCCTGTCTCGGACTTGCCAAAAGGCATCTGAAGGACTCTCAGACTGTAAGAAACAAAACTCTCTGGTCTGATGAGACTACAATGGAAATCTTTGGAGTGAATGCCAGGCGTTATGTTCTGAGAAAACCAGGAACTGCTTATCACCAGGCTAATACCATTCCTACAGTGAAGCATGGTGGTGGCAGCATCATGCTGTGGGGATGTTTTGCAGCAGCAGGAACTGGAGGTCTAGTCAGGATAGAGAGAAAGATGTTCACAGACATCCTGGATGAAAACCTGCTTCAGAGTGCTCTTGACCTCAGACTGGGGCGACGGTTCATCTTCAATGACTCAAAACACACCGCTATAATATCAATAGAGTGACTTTACCACAACTCTGTGAATGTCCCAGAGCCCAGACCTAAATCCTATTGAATAGATCTAAAAGTGGCTGTACACAGTCGCTTCCCATTAAACTGATAGAGCTTGAGAGTTACTGCAAAGAGGAATAAGCAAAAATTCCCAAAAACAGGTGTGCCAAGCTTGTGGCATCATATTCAAAAAGACTTGAGGCTGTAATTGCTGCCAAAGGTGCATCAACACAGTATTGAGCAAAGGCTGTGAATACTGGTGCACATATGATTTTTCAGGTTTTTTATTTTTAATAAATTTGCAACAGTTTCAAAAACTTTTTTTTTCACATTTTCATTTTGGGGTATTGTGTAGAATGTCGAGGAAATAAATGAATTAATCAATTTTTGAATAAAGCTGTAACATAAAAAAATATGGAAAAAGTGACGCGCTATGAATACTTTCCAGATGCACTGTATATTTGTTGTTGGATAGTTCGTCTCAGATCTTGAAAAAAAAAAAAAAAACCAAGCAGAGAGTTTGAAAACTGCGATTCAGTGCAAACACAATTGTCCAATTACTTTTGGTCCCTTAACAAGAGTGAGGCACATAGGCAAAGTGTTGTAATTCCTACAGCGTTCACCTGATTTGGATGTAAATACCCTCAAATTAAAGCTGACAGTCTGCAGTTAAACACATCTTGTTCATTTAATTTCAAATCCATTGTGTTGGTGTATAGAGCCAAAATGTTAGAATTGTGTCCCAATATTTATGGACCTACAGTAACTGTATATATATGCATTTTTATTTGTCCAACCAATGCACTGTTAACAATTTCCTGCAGAATCTAGTAACTTACTGTCAATCAAATACAGCAAAAATACTGTATTTACATTGGCAGCATCATTTATCTTTCTGTATTTACAGAATTGTATGTTTATCTTTACTGTAAATTATACAGTAATTTTCACAATGCAACTTTAAAATACAGTAACATACCGCATAACTGTCCTACAGTAAGATAGTTCATATTAGTTTAATACTGTGTGATTTCCAAAAGTAGTTAACAGTGTACGTATGAAATATGTTGCCATCACTTGTTCTTTGCTCTGAGACAAAAATAAAAGTTGCTGTTTGACTTCAGTAAAAAAAAAAAATAGGAGTTTAATTTCTAGGCATTGAGATTGATGTGGTTTAGTCTTCAGTCAGGTAAAAACTGTTTGAGTAATTAAGTTAGATTTGAGATGAAGTAATTAGAGAAGTAATTTAAATACAACTGCACTCTTGAAATATATTACTTTTTTGAAGTGCCTTAACCAACACTGTATGCTATAAGAACAGTTTTATAACATAACCAAAACAAACAATTGTTTTTAAAAACTTACAACTAAAATTAGCTAATTGTTATTAGTTTTGACTAGGTAAAATTAGACTTTCGGTCCAATTTCTCTTAAATGTGGAGATCCTGTATTCCAATGCTTTATGTCAAGGCTGATTATGCAGCTCTTCAGTGGATTGTCCGTCCACTGAATAATAGTATAAAACTGAATTGAAAGAAACTGAACTTCAACAGTGACATTTATACTAAACTGAATCAGTTTTTTATTTAAATGAAACCACAAAGATGCCAATGTCTAGAAATTAGTTTTAAAACAACTACCTTCTCTTGGTGTGGCTGACAAAGTAATCACGAATCACTGTGACCTTCATCGGGACAACTTGCTATCACTGCATTTCCAGATTTGACATTACCGTGTGTCAACTCTTATTACTGATGACTGATTTGACATTGTGATTTGAGTTTTGCTGTTTACAGTAAGTGAGGTGAGGAACGCTGCTGTTTGATGTATTATTAATTAAACTAAACTGAACTAACACTGAACTGACTGAAGATGATTTAAACTAGTAGAACTGCTAATAGCTGAACTGATGTCGCTTCAAACTGTTCAGGAAAAATTACACTGAACAGTTTTGAACTAAACCAACACTAGATTCTTTTATTTTTGATATTGTTTTAAAAAAGCAAGGTGTACATTTTCAAATCTATAGTTCACCCAAAGAATTAACACTTCCTTGCTCTCAAATTGCTCCAAAATTTATGAGTTTATTTATTCTGATAAACACAAGATAATTAAATTTGAATAATGTTGTAAACTGGTAGTGGCAGCACGGTGACTCAGTGGTTAGCACTGTCAACTCGAAGCAAGAAGGTTGCTTGTTTGAGACCCGGCTGGGTCAGTTGGCATTTCTGTGTGGAGCTTGCATGTTCTTCCCATGTTGGTGTGGGTTTCCTCCGGGTGCTCCGGTTTCCCCTACAATCCAAAGACATGCGCTATAGGGAGACTGAATATACTAAATTGGCCGTAGTGTATGAGTGTGTGTGTGTGAATATGAAAATGTATGGGTGTTTCCCAGTACTGGGTTGCAGCTGGAAGGGCATCTGCTGCGTAAAAAATATGCTGGAATAGCTGGCGGTTCATTCTGCAGTGGCGACCCCTGATAAATAAGGGACTAAGCCGACGGAAAATGAATGAACGAACGACTGACATCCATAGTAAGGAAAAAAAATACACAATTTTTTGAATGGCTGCAGGCTTTCAACATTCTTCATTTTGTGTTCAATAGAAGAATGAAACTCAAACAGGTTAGAAACAAATGGAGGATGAGTAAATGATGACTGATTTTCTTTTCTTTTTGGGGGTTAACTATATCCAATTGTAACAAAACTAGTTAAACTTCAGATCTAATGCATTTATTGCAGTTAAATTTAGTTTCAGTTCACACAATCAATTTCAAAACCTCTTTGTAATACCAACATTTGTTTGAACAAACTTCAGAGAGCAGTTTATCTTGTATCCGGTCTCTTGTGTTGTGTGTGGATGATCTAACTTCATATCGCTGTGCAGTACTTTGTTATTAATAATTTAAGCAAAGACTGAATGTGAAAGTTTTCTTCAAAGTTGTGATTGCAGTGCAGTTTGGACAGCCTTTATAACAAGTGCTGACTGATTCATGTTTAGCGTAATTTTAGAATATTACATCATGGATCTGAAACTACATTTTTTTGCAAGAACAATATTAATTAAATAGTTAATTCCAAATATAATACAATATTCTGTCATTTACTCACCCTCAGAAGAAGAAGTGGTGTGTGATTGTATCATTGTGGCATCAAAAATTGCCTACATAAAACCATTAAAAAAGGCATGTCAATATTAATTTGATCAACACACTGAAAAACCCAACAGTCAACTTTATTAAATGAAATGAGTGTAAATTTACAAGAAAAAATTACAGTAAGTTGATTCCACTCATTTGAAAAGAGTTTTGAACTCTTAATTAAATACCTCATTAATTCAACTTAAATAGAGTAAGTTCCCAGTACTTACTATAGGTTAGTTTTTTTTAAACTCTTATTGGGTTATTAAAACATATTGGGTTTTACAGAACTCAGTTGGTTTGAGTTCTCTTTATTTATAAGATTTTACTGTGCTCAATTTGCTTTGTTTACTCAAATGGATTAAGTTCACAGCACTCATTAGAATTAGTTTTTTGGTTTTTTTTTGGATTAGCAACGGTTTGCTGCAATCGGTTTTCTCTAATTGTTTGTGTTACCTAAACTTTTTGGGTTTTACAGTATAGAATTTAAATAGACAGACAGACAGACAGACAGACAGACAGACATGTGCTGAACTATATTAAAGAAATAGTTAATTCAACATATATAAAATCATGTAAAAAAAAAAAAAAAAAGACAAACCCCAGAAGGAAGAAGGATACAAGGTCTGTTATTATAGCTGTCAAGCTCCAAAAACAAAGAATAATTTAAAATGTAGCCAAAAATACTTCAGTAAAATGACAGATTAAAAAAAAAAATACTTTAAAAAGAAAATTCACAAAACACAGTAACAAGAGTAAATGTAACGTTAATTCGTTACTTTCTGCCAAACAGTAGCCTACATAAAACACTATAAAGCACGTCTTCCTAAAATATTTAGATTGCAAACTTGTCGCACGAGTATTGTTTGTTTTGTTTGTTTCAACGCGTCATACAGTAATGTAACGTAACAACCAGCTAAAAAAGCAACATGTAGCCATTTTGAAACAAAGTTGTTACAAAATGTCGTTACTTTCCACCTCTGCCAAAAAGTATCCAACATAAAACACTATAAAAGACGCACATCTTCCTAATTATTTAGGATGCTTAATTTGATAAACAGAACATACTTTAATCACTGAATATTGGATTTTACCATTCAAAAACCATTTATCATTCAAACTTGTCACTCGAGTTTTGTTTGTTTACGTTTTTCAACGCGTCATACAGTAATGTAACGTAACAAACAGCCAAAAAAGCAACATGTAACGTTAGCCATTTTGAAACATAAAAGTAGCTGGCCTACATATCACAACTTTAAAATAGTGAAACATACAGAAAGTAAAAAAATAAAATTACTGATTTTAAAAACTACCTAAAAGTATAAATTCACTCAAAAACAATAACAGTAATGTGAACAAAGGTAACGTTAATTTGTTACGTTACTTTCCACCTCTGAAAAAAACTATCCTATATAAAACACCATAAAAGAGGCACCTTCTGAATATTTTAGATTGCCTTGATAAACAGGCCCTACTTTAATCACTGAAAATCGCAATTTTACCATTCAAACCTACCATTTATCAGTAAAACTTCAGTCGCACGAGTTGTTTGTTTACGTTTGTTTCAATGCCTCATTCAGTAATGTTACTTAACAAACAGCTTAAAACAGCAACATGTAGCTATTTTGAAACAAAAATGTAATTTTAAGTAAATGTAATTCGTTACTTTCCACCTAAACAGATCTTACTTTAATCACTTAAAATCGAAATTTTACCATTCAAACTTACCGTTTATCAGTAAAACTTGTCGAGTGAGTATTGTTTGTTTGTTTGTTTACGTTTGTTTCAACGCGTCATAGTAACAAACGGTTATTTGAAACAAAAATCTAGTACCCACCATAACACAACAACCTTTCAACAATATATTACTCACTACAACAGTCTAGCAAACAGCTGGACTAGTTTAGAAATATCAGTTATGGCCAGTGATTAGGGCGTTCATATATTAATTTTAATTACACGTCATCACAACCGCTTGGCAGGTATTGAATGCATCAGCGGGAGGCGCTGTGCTAAATGCAGCCCTTTTTTACTGTGAAGCGCGTTTGTCTTTGTTCGGTTTCTTTTCCTTTTGATTCCGGACATTGTGCTGCGGCTCCGAAACACACTAAACTCTCAACACTCGTCTCTGTTTATTTTCCCATATCATTATTTCATCTGTTCAGCAGCTCCGAATATCACTGAACAATGGCTTTCCAGTATCCCAACGTCTATCGGGACGAATCTGTGGTGAGTGACAGAATAGTGGAGAGAAAAGAGGACATGAATGAAGAGATGGAGAGATGAATGACTGGAAGAGACTGAATGGAGAGAGAAAACGGCATATATAGTATACATGCTTATCTATCTATCTATCTATCTATCTATCTATCTATCTATCTATCTATCTATCTATCTATCTATCTATCTATCTATCTATCTATCTATCTATCTATCTATCTATCTATCTATCTATCTGTCTGTCTGTCTGTCTGTCTGTGTCTGTCTGTCTGTCTGTCTGTGTTTATCGATTTGTCCATCATTTATTATTTGTCTACATTACATACTTCGGTATGTGTGTGTGTGTGTGTATGTATGTGTATATATATATATATATGTATGTATGTGTATGTATATATATATATATATATATATATATATATATATATATATATATGTCTATCCTTCATTAATTAATTATTCATTATTTATTCATTCATTAATTATAGATTTTGAACTCTTATTTTGCCTATCTGTCTATTCAATACTTCTAAATAATCTATCTATATACTTCTGTCTGTTTATCGATCTGTTCACCATTTATTACATTTTTTTCTATATTCTTCTGCCTGTCGCTACATATGTCTATTTATCCTTTAATACATTTTTAATTATTTATTCATTCATTAATGATGGAAATTTACCTCTTATTTGGTCTATCTATCTATCTATCTATCTATCTATCTATCTATCTATCTATCTATCTATCTATCTATCTATCTGTCTGTCTGTCTGTCTGTCTGTCTGTGTCTGTCTGTCTGTCTGTCTGTGTTTATCGATTTGTCCATCATTTATTATTTGTCTACATTACATACTTCGGTATGTGTGTGTGTGTGTGTATACATAAATACATATATATATATATATATATATATATATATATATATATATATATATGTAGGTATATATATATATATATATATATATGTGTGTGTGTGTGTGTGTATGTATGTGTATATATATATATATATGTATGTATGTGTATGTATATATATATATATATATATATATATATATATATATATATATATGTCTATCCTTCATTAATTAATTATTCATTATTTATTCATTCATTAATTATAGATTTTGAACTCTTATTTTGCCTATCTGTCTATTCAATACTTCTAAATAATCTATCTATATACTTCTGTCTGTTTATCGATCTGTTCACCATTTATTACATTTTTTTCTATATTCTTCTGCCTGTCGCTACATATGTCTATTTATCCTTTAATACATTTTTAATTATTTATTCATTCATTAATGATGGAAATTTACCTCTTATTTGGTCTATCTATCTATCTATCTATCTATCTATCTATCTATCTATCTATCTATCTATCTATCTATCTATCTATCTATCTATCTATCTATCTATCTATCTATCTATCTATCTATCTTTCTTTCTTTCGATTTATCTATCCTCCTGTCTATTTATTGTTCATTCTATAATTTTCTCTATCTATCATTCATTCATTAAGTTAATTTATCTCTGTCTACATACTTATATCTGTCTGTTTATTGATCTGTCCATCATTTACTGTATTTTTTAAACATAGTTCTGTCTGTCAATATATATTCTTCATGTCTGTCCTTCAATAATGAATTGTAAATTATTTATTCATTCATTAATAATGGATTTTGAACTCTTATCTTGCCTATCTGTCCATTCAATAGTATCATTTAATAAATTTTAATTTATTTATTCGTTCATTGATAATTAAATTTCAACTCCTATTTTGCCTATCTGTATATTCAATACTCTGTCTGTCATTTTATCTTTCTTTGTCTGTATACTTCTGCCTGTCTGTTTATCGATCTGTCCGTCATTTATTATTGTTTGTCTACATTATATACTTCAGTCCGTCACTATATATATATATATATATATATATATATATATATATATATATATATATATATATATATATATATATATATATATATATATATATATATATATTTATATTGTGTGTGTGTCTGTCTATCTATCCCTTCATTTATGACTTTTAAATAATTTATTTATTCATTAATAATGGATTTTGAACTCTTATTTTGCCTATCTGTCTGTCTATCTATCATGGTAACACTTTACAATAAGGTTCATTAGTTAATGCATTTAATAACATGAACTAGTCATGAACAACACTTGTACAGCATTTATTAATCATCATTGAACATTTACTAATGCATTATTAACATCCAAGTTCATGCCTGTTAACATTAGTTAATGCACCATGAGTTAACATGAACTAACAATAAACTACTGTATTTTCATTAACTAACGTTAACTAACATGAACAAATACAATAGTAAATGTATTGTTCATTGTTTGTTCATGTTAGGAAATGCATTAATTAACATTAACTAATGAACCTTATTGTAAAGTGTGACCAATTAATAATGGATTTTGAACTCTTATCTGTCCATTTAATACTCCTATATCTTCTATTTATTTACTTCTGTCTGTTTAATCAATCTGTCCATCATTTATTATATTTTTGTCTATATACTTCTGTCTGTGACTATATATCTGTTTATCTATCCTTTAATAAATGTTATTATTGTTATTTATTTATTGTTATTAATTTTTATTTATTCATCTATTATTCATTCATTGACAGTGACATTTTAAATTTCTGTCTATTCAGTACTCATATCTATCTATCTATCTGTCTATCTATCTATCTATCTATCTATCTATCTGTCTGTCTGTCTGTCTGTCTGTAGTTTTATCTTTCTTTGTATACTTTTTTCCGTTTATAATTTGTTGTTCATTCTTTCATTTTCTCTGTCTATACACTTCTATCTGTCTGTTTATCGATCTGTCCATCATTTGTTGTATTTTTTTTGTCTATATACTTCTGTCAAATCAATATATATTCTTCATGTCTGTCCTTCATTAATTAATTGTTAATTATTTATTCATTCATGAATAATAGAATTTCAACTTATTTTGCCTATCTGTCTATTCAATACTCCTATCTGTCTGTCTGTCTGTCTGTCTGTCTATTTATCTATTTGTCTGTCATTTACTAATGAATGCTGCTTTTGATGGAAATCAAATGTTTCAAATTAATGCCAGCATGTTTCACACATGCCATTTATCGACATGCATTTTTAAAACATTTCATTGTTTTTTTTTTATCATGTGCAGTTGTTGGGAAAAAAAGAAAGAAAATCTGAATAACACTACCATAGGACTATGGAGATATACAAAATCCAGTAAATAATCAGGCTGTGTAACAGACTTCACCTAAACTAACCTAAATATAAAATAAATACATTATGAACTGTGTTCGCTGAATCACTGTTTTGTAATATCAAATGCAGATAGCAGCTGAATTAATGTGTAGCTGTTGTTCATATGTAGTGTGTAGTGCTAATAATTCTCTTTCATGCATGCATTCAGCTGTTTTTTCATTCACAAATTCCTAAACGTTCCTGACACCAAACCAGGTGCACAGATTCTGTCTGACAGAAAAAAAAAACAATTAAAAGTCAACATTAAAGTCAACTGGTGTTGCATCACTGACAACGCTGAATAAAACTATCATTTCAATCACTTTTTCAGCAGAAAAGTCATTTAATTAGATGTAACTTGTTAATTACACCCAACACTGCTCGCTACTAATGTGTGTGTGTGTTTTCAGGTGGACGACTATCATGGCTGTAAAATCCCTGACCCGTATAGCTGGCTGGAGGATCCTGACAGTGAAAAAACACAGGTGACCTGAGCAAACACTTCTTCATTCTCCTGTCATAGAACATGTGACTCTGTATAGTTCTGATATGACTCTTTCTGAATGTGTCTGTCAGGCGTTTGTGAACGCTCAGAATCAGCTGACCCTGCCCTTCCTGGAGCAGTGCGAGACCAGAGACCTCTTTAAAGAGCGCATGACTGAACTCTACGACTACCCCAAATACAGCTGCCCCTTCAAACGCGGAGACAGGTGAGATGTCAACAAGAAGGGTTGAAAATGGTGAGCGTTCATTTAAGGCAGGGGTGTCCAAACTGGGTCCTGGAGAGTTTAGCTCCAACCCTAATCAAACACACCTGAAACAGCAAATCAAGCTCTTACTAGATACTAGAGACTTCCTGGCAGGTGTGTTGAAGCAAGTTAAAGCTAAACTCAGCAGGACACCGGCCCTCCAGGACTGAGTTTGGACACCCCGGATTTAAGGGATGCATTATAACGCACTTTACCTCAAGTTATATCATTTAATGGTCATCTGCATCTTAAATCCTTGAAAGTTTTGAATATTTAGATTTTTAAATAACGTACATTTATAAGCTATGGTTTGTATTATATCATCTTTGCAACAACAAAAAAAACGAATTACGTCTGGTTTATACATTTGCATGAAGTGATCAGCGTGACCCACGGCGCCTGCCTTGCATGTAGCCATGCATTTACACTTCTGCTCGCTGTTTTGTTGCTATTCAATAACACTTTGAAAACGCTAGCTGGCAGCAGTTTTTATGTTCCTCTGTGTGGAGTGTCTTCACAGGTGTTTTGTTTATTCTGACCGCTACCTTTAATGGACAGATAGCCTAAACTCGCTCATTAAGAGGCGGTAGCCGCCAGACTTGCAGCAACTTTAATCATAAGGTAAACACAAAACAAAAGTTTTCATCTGGAGCTCCTTTATGGGACTCCACACTTGTAAAATTTGCTTTATCGGGCTCGCGGCTCTCAGCACCGCCCACACTCATCACCGCTACCAAACCGACCAATCACAGAGCTTGTGCTATGCATTGTTGCGACGTGTACTTACATCTTTTGAGAGGTGTGCGTCAGCCACAGCGAGCGGTCTGTGACCACGCGAAGGCCGCGCTGGACCACACACATGTGTAAAAGTAGCAAACACATTGCTTTAAAATGTCATCAATTTGTAGTTACAGCATGTAGAGCTCTGGGGTCAGGAAGTTCTCTGAAGATAACATTATCCTACATTATGTATTATGCGTTTTTTTTAAGGTAAATGAAGGTAGTGTGTTGCTAATTGCAGAGCTCCTCTATTAAAAAAAGAAGAAGAAAAAAACCCTGCAAGTTCTGAAAGAGAACAAGAAAGAGATTAATATTTCTACTAGCTCTCCCCAAGGCTTTGTACTTTCTACTGTTCTAATTATATTATATACTAGGGTTGTGCCGATAGACGATGCCATTGTCCATCGTCGATGGCCGACAAACTTTATGATGCTGAGCCGGCATCACTATCCATCGCCCCGCCCCACATTTATATTGATATATAACATCATTTGCATGTCATCTTAATAACAATAATGGTCTTTTCATGAGCTGTGTTAGATGTTATACAGTACCTCTCACACTTAAGCCTGATTTATACTTCTGCGTCAGGTGACCAGCGTAACCCACGGCGCATGCAACGCGCGTGGCTGTGCATTTATACTTCTGCGCACTGTCTCTGTTGGTCTGCATTAACACTTCCGAAACGCTAGTGGGCAGTGAGGTGTAAATGTTCCTCTGTGTCGAGTTTCTTCTCTGCTTTTTTGCGTTTCCTGAACACTTCCGGGATGTACAAGTGGCTCAAACTCGCTCATTTTGAGGCAGGAACCGGCGGACGTGCAACAATTTTAACTATGAGGTAAACACAAAACAAAACTTTCCATCCGGAGCTCCTTCACGGGACTCCACACTTGTAGACAATCGCTCCATCAGGCTCTCGGTCCCGCCCAGACTCGTCAGCGCTACCAAGCCGACTAATCACAGAGCTTACGCTACGCGGCGTTGCGACGTGTAGTTACTTTTTTTCAGAGGTGCACGTCAGTGACGGCAACGGCCACGGCCACGGCGAAGGGCTATGCGTCAGCGCCGTATCATACGCCGGCGTTTGACGCAGAAGTATAAATCAGCCTTTAAAATGTGAAGATTCAGTGGCAAACGCTGTTACCTGGAAACCCTGTCCCACAGACTTTACAGTGAATGGCTTTAGTCATTTTCATAGTGGACTTAAAGCGACTGGAAGTCTTTTATCCGCTTTTGAAAAAGTGTAAATGGTGGATTAACATTCAGCACATGATCCCTAATAAGATGTGCTGTTATTAGTAACTGTAGGTAAATCTGTCAGTGTTATTTTCATTCTCTCATCTTCAGCGCTTCACGTTTTCACAGTTGTAGCTCCTGTCATCTGAAGGCAGAAGGCATTGACTGAGTGATTGACAGCTGATATTAACCAATCATTCGCATTCAGTTCTAGAGCAGTGAGACAATAAGAAGAGCACAAAGGCGGGGCAAGCATTGCGGGCTTTTTTACTTCAGCAAATTCACATAAAAACTATTTAATCTCTTAATAAAAAGTTTCTGAGTGCTGCGTTTGGTGTTTTTAGGTGCAAAGATGCTTTCTGCATAAATATCTGCTAAATCCGCGCACGCGGTGAGGATTTTTCAGTGAAAACAATGAAAATGTATGCACTACAGTAAACTCCAACCAAACTCTCATCTCCTCCACCAGCTGTCGGAAAAAAACATTGTAATGACACAGATCATTGTGCTTATTCCTGCCAGAGTCTTGCAACTTAATCCATTAATCGTAACAATGGAAATGCGTTCGAGCTGAAAGTGAACAGCGTTTGTCCAAATACAGCGCTGAAGAACTTTGCTTGAAACGTTTGACTCTTATTTTTGTACAATTTTGTGATGTTGTACTCTAAATAGCGCTGTTTGTTTCTCTTTCTCCTGTAGGTATTTCCACTTTTACAACACGGGTCTGCAGAACCAGAGTGTTATGTACGTGCAGGATAATCTCGATGCAGAACCCACCGTGTTTCTGGACCCGAACACTTTCTCAGAGGACGGGACAGTTGCTTTACGAGGTACTGTGTGTGTGTGTGTGTGTGTGTGTGTGTGTGTGTGTGTGTGTGTGTGTGTTTGTGTGTGTGTGTGTGTGTGTGTGTGTGCGTCTTTGTGTTTAAAGTGCAAATGAAATCAAAACTAACCATACTGATTTTGTTACCTTACATTGCTAGTTTTGGGACGAACAATTCATCTGTGCATGTCATTAAGAAATAAATAATTTTCTAAAATTGAAATTTGAAAGTGCACTTCCTGCTTGTTTTCAGTTCAAGTCTCAGATTAGGTCTGTCTGAGGTAATAGGCATGGCTAATATACTTAACCACGCCCCTTCTGCTGTCAGTTTCGACAACAAACAGAAATAGTGGTCAGAAGATAGTGTCTGTTAGATTGTAATAACTCTCCCCAGACCATTTTACCCATCTTTCTGAATGCAATGCCTACTTTACTACATCCAATCAGCTTGCAGTAGAAAAAACAAGCCACACCCACTGTTTTCTCATTTTATGTTCAGTTTCTCTAGATACTGCATCACAATACAAAAAAGTCATGATTCATGCTGACTTTAAAGTGTTTCTGTGGATTTCTGCTAAAGTCTGCCCTTCTTTCTCAGGTTATTCGTTCTCTGAGGACGGCGAGTTTCTGGCATACGGCACCAGCGCCAGTGGTTCGGATTGGGTGGAAATCCGCTTTCTACGTGTGGACGGTGCTGTCCTGCTAGAGGATCGACTAGAGAGGGTCAAATTTACATGCATGTCCTGGACTCATGATGGAAAGGGCCTTTTCTACAACTCTTATCCTGAGCAGGAGGGCAAAAGCGATGGTAAACACGCACATTTACACTTATATTGGTTCAAGGCATCTGCCTGTCTTATTTATTTATTTTTTTAAGGTATTATTTATGTTTGGCTTTAATCTGTTTTTCTATTTTAATTAGATTTATTTTTGTATTTAAACAAAAACATTACATTTAATATTCATTCAAAATGTTAATTTGGCTTTTATTTTTGGTTACCAGAAATAATTTTGAATTATTTTAGTGCTTATTTATGTTTGTTGTTTTATGGCAAGTGAACATTTCTCATTTTCTTTTACACTTTGAATCTTACATGTATTTTATTTTACTTTCAAACCTAAATTTGCATGCACAGCAATTAAGCAACATTTACATTTCGAAGTCATTAATTGCCAGACTCCCGTGTAATCTGTCGGACAGTGCGATGGGTACGTGGTGCGTCTTCTTGGCTCAGTATCATGTTTTTGACAGTGGGGGTATTTTCAACAGTACGGGCAGTGCTCGTACTTTTCGTATTTTCAACAGTACGTATGACCACTCTCCGCTACACGGCATACTGATCCAGTGCCAACCAACAAGTAATCCAATCCACCTTTTGTCAGAAAACATGAAGCTCTGTAGCCATTCAGTTCTTGTAAACCTTTGATCAAATTCTTATCTTTATTCGAAAACACTATTTTTTATTTAAGCCTTACACAGCTAAAAATAAATACCTCATCATTATGGCATCTTTAAGGAAAGTAAATAAAATGACTATTCCAATGAAACGATTGTGTTATGTTGTTACGAAATTTAGTAATTTTTATTCCTGTAGTACGATAAGCAGTCTTTTTTTAAAATAAAATATTATTGCTTGTTTTTTTTTATTGAGACACAGTGTTTGTGTGTGTGTGTATATATATTTTTTTTTTTCTTTTTTTTTTTTTCTTAGTCTCTGTTAAGCTGCTTTGACACAATCTAAATTGTGAAAAGTGCTATAGAATATAAAGAAATTATTTATAATAAATGTATCATTTTTAATATTTTAGTTTTTTCAGTTTTGTTTCTTTTACATTAATGTCTACATTAATTAGTTGTTTAACACATTAATTTAAAGTTTTTTTTATGCAATTTACATTTTATTTTATTTTAATTCCCAAAATATATTATTAGTGCTCTTAGTGTTAGTCATTGTAGAACTTTTAACATATTAAGGTTAGTGGCCAAGGCAACATTTGTTCTGTTCATTTGTTGATCTTATATTTGTATTTTATTTTATTTTAGCTTGAATTATTTTCCCCAAATGTAATGCATTTGGCAATTTTAGAATGTGATCTTCTTTAAATTACTGAGCAAGGCAACGTTTCTAATTTTCACTTTTCAATTTTCAATTGTAATTTACTTCAGCTTTTTATCAGTTCTGATTAAATTTCATGCCGCCCCTAACAAGATTCCACCCTGGGCGATCGCTAGGCCCAGACAGAATCTGCGGACATTTTTTGCTATTTCCATGGAGAACATTGTAAATTTTAAAAGTATTGTAACTAAAAACTCAATATATGAAATAAAGAACAATAAACAATGCCTTTTTAACTTTTATTTAATGTTTACAATGCAAATCTAATTAGATCTACTTAATTGGTAAACAAAGCAAGTCTCTCATATAATAGATCTACTAAAAGACAGACAATATTACTTACAAACTGTATTGTACATAAATCATATGAACATTTTAATATTACTATTATTATATCACAATAATATTAATAAATTTAATTTTAAAACTTGATGAATGTAAATATACACAGATTTACACAAGTAAATACATAGACTCAACGATGGGAGAAAAATCTGCGGAAATCTGCAGATTTCTGCGCGCTCAGATTCCGCGTGGGCCTAGAGATCACCCACATTGGCCGTGCCTTAATCTGCCTCTGCTCCGTAGTCATTAAAATACCCACGGCACTTCTCGTAGAGTATCATTCTAGTTTTGATGAACAGCAGGAATGGATTTTTCTTTGTCCCTCAGGCACTGAGACGTCCACTAACCTGCACCAGAAGCTGTATTATCATGTGTTGGGAACCCCTCAGTCTCAGGACGTCCTGTGTGCTGAATTTCCAGATGAGCCCAAATGGATGAGCGGTGTTGAGGTAACAGACATGCATACAAACTGCACTCCATTTCTGGTCCAGTTAAAGAAAACATAATTTTTACATAATCAGTGGTTAGAACTGTCACGTCACTGCAAGAAGGTCGCTGATTTGAGTCCCTGCTGGGCCAGTTAGCATTTCTATGTGGAGTTTGCATGTTTTCCTGTGTTTGTGTGGGTTTCCTCCGGGTGCTCCGGTTTCCCCCATAGTCCATGTGGTATAAGTGAATTAGGTAAACAAAATTGGCCATAGTGTGTGTGTGTAAGTGTGAATGAGTGTGTATGAGTGCTGGGTTGCGACTGGAAGGGCACCAGCTGCATATAACATAAGCTAGAGTAATTTACGGTTCATTCCGCTGTGGTGACCCCTGATAAATCAGGGACTAAACTGACGGATAGTGAGTGAGTGGGATTTATCACTATACTTCCAAAGGTCATTGCTTATATTAGGAATTGCAAACTGTTTTGCGTTATGACTTTTCCAAAATGTTATGATTAAATATACGAAGGATGCATTGTTTCATAAAATATATGCAAATATGCAAATGTTGGATAAAGTCTTAGTGTAGACTTTTCTTTCTGGAATGTTTTGTGTTTTTTTTTTTATAATTCAGAAAACACTGAACATCCAAAAAAAGTATGTTTTCAAAAATGTTGTTGAATAAAATATTTTTAATCATAGAAATTATGTGGGAACAAATTTCTATGTTTAAACCTTTAAAATGCATAAATAAAACTGTGTGTTAAGGCTGCACGCAGGGCCGGAGTGGGACTCTTTTTCAGCCCTGGAGTTTCAAGCCTTAGACCGGCCCACCTCAGTTCACCACTGACTATATTAAAATAAGGTCATTTCCAATTCAGTTTCTAATTACACTATCACGTCTTTTTTTGAGAAAACAGCTGCTTTAGAACTTCAAATGTTCAACAACCTTACAGTATTATATGTCTTAACATTAAAAATGAAAAAAAAAAAAAATTTACACAGACGAGGACCGAACCCGGGTTGGCGGCGTCATAACCTAACATGCTAACCACTGTACCACAACAGCTGTACATTGAATGGTGACTTACCTTCTTGCTCACGAGGCTACGAGAAAATAGATAAAAAGAGCAGAGCTGCGGTAAAATAATGAATAAGAAGGCTGTGGTCAAGTAAATAAATAATTTTTAAAAAGTGTGACTGCTGAGAGGGACAGATTCTGGAGCTAGGGACACCGGCCCTCGCGCCCAAAAAACGGACCGGCCCACCGGGAATTCTCCCGGTCCTCCCGATTAGCCAATCTGTGCCTGGCTGCACAATATTGGAAAAAACTGACATTGCAATATTGTCATTCACTGCGATATATATTACGTAATTCAATACATCATTTTTAGAACAATTGGGATGATTCTGTAGGAGAGCGTATCTGCGTAAAATATAATAACAAAAATGACAAGCATAGTTTAATATAACAGCCAAAAGATGCAAATAAACACTCATTTATTATTATTATTAAGGAGTCAAACCGTATTCAGAAGCAAAATTAAATAATCACTGTATAATAATAATAACACTATTGTTTTAATTGAGTAAATAATTACATACAATGTTCAATTAGTCCTTAAGCTTCAAGCGGTTGATGTATTGTGCCAAAATGGCTCAATTTTGCTTCAAATACTTACAGTCAGGCTTTTAAAACACATCCCAATAATAAACTTTCACTCTAAGGTTAAAATTTGCAATTACTCCACTATGTTGTAACTATTACACGGTGGCTCAGTGGTTAGCACAGTCACCTCACAGCAAGAAGATCACTGGTTCGAGTCCTGTGTGGAGTTTGCATGTTCTCTCCGTGTTGGTGTGGGTTTCCTCCGGGTGCTCTGGTTTCCCTTCACAGTCCAAACACATGCACTATAGGTGAATTGAATAAACTAAATTGGCCATAGTGTATGTGTGTGAATGAGTGTGTAAGGGTGTTTCCAAGTAGTGGGTTGCAGCTGGGCTTCTGCTGTGTAAAACATATTATTGGATAAGTTGGCGATTCATTCCGCTGTGGTGACCCCTGATGAATAAAGGGACTAAGCTGAAGGAGAATTAATGAATGTTGTAACTAATGTCTGGTCAACTATAATCTCAGCTGCTTTGCAGATCCCTGCAACTGTGACTCTTGCAGACCCGCACACTGTGATATCAATGCTGAAATCATATATTGTGCAGTGCTGGTGTGCATTATAATTTAAATCAACAGACACGAGTTGATAAAATGCAGCAAATAAAACTTAAAAGTGCCTTTTCAATATTTTTAATATTGAAAATATGAATATGAATATTATTATTATTAAATATTAATATTTAAATATTTTTAATATTTACGTTTAGATAAAAAAAAAAAAACTCTTCTTGTTAGCCAAAGAATTGAACGGTGCAAGAAGAAACAGTGTATTTCCTGCAGTGTCTCACTTTAATACATGTCTGTGTGTGTGTTTGTAGGTCTCTGATGATGGTCGATATGTGCTGTTGTCTATTCGAGAAGGTTGTGATCCTGTCAACAGACTGTGGTACTGTGACTTGAACGAGGAGCCGCAAGGAATCACGGGTACAGATGCACAGAAACTCATTTTCTGCTTGTTTTTTTGCAGCCGGTTTCTCATTTATCTTGTTCTGGTCATAGGTTTGTTGCCGTGGGTGAAGCTGATCGATAACTTTGATGCAGAGTATGAATACGTCACCAATGAAGGAACCGTTTTCACTTTTAAAACCAACCTGGAAGCTCCTCAGTATCGACTCATCAACATCGACTTCACCCAGCCGTCCGTCAGCCAATGGAAAGAGCTCATTCCTCAACACGACAAAGACGTCATCGGTGAGCAGAGATGCTGCTTTTCTAGATCAAACTAAATCTGTCTAATAAGAGAATTTTCTTTTCTGCAGCAAATTGTACTTGCAACAATTGTAATTGTACGTTTAAATATGTTAAAATAAAGAAAAATGTACATTTACCGGCCACTTTATTAGGTACACCTGTCCAACTGCTCTTAATGCAAATTTCTAATCAGCCAATCACATGGCAGCAACTCAATGCATTTAGGCATGTAGACATGGTGAAGACGATCTGCTGCAGTTCAAACCGAGCATCAGAATGGGGAAGAAAGGGGATTTGAGTGATGAAAATGGTTGTTGGTGCCAGAGGGGTTGATCTGAGTATTTCAGAAACTGCTGATCTACTGGGATTTTCGTGCACAACAATTTCTAGGGTGAATGGTCAGAATAAGAGAAAATATCTAGTGAGCGGCAGTTCTGTGGGCACAAATGTCTTGTTGATGCCAGAAGTCAGAGGAGAATGGCCAGACTGGTTCCAGCTGATAGAAAGGCAACAGTAACTCAAATAACGGCAGCAGAAGACCACACCTGGTGCCTCTCCTGTCAGCTAAGAACAGGAAACTGAGGCTACAATTCACACAAGTTCATCAAAATTACACAATAGAAGATTAAAAAAATGTTGCGTGGTCTGATGAGTCTCGATTTCTGCTCCAACATTCGGATGGTCGGGTCAGAATTTGACGTCAACAACATGAAAGCATGGATCCATCCTGCCTTTTATCAAGGGTTCAGGCTGGTGGTGGTGGTGTAATGGTGTGTTTTTTTTTCTTGGCACACTTTGGGCTATTAGTACCAATTCAGCATTGTGTCAACACCACAGGCTACCTGAGTATTGTTGCTGACCATGTCCATCCCTTTAAAACCACAGTGTCCCCATCTTCTGATGGCTACTTCCAGCAGGATAACACGCCATGCCATAAAGCATGAATTATCTCAGATGGATTTCTTGAACATGACAATGAGTTCACTGTACTCAAATGGTCTCCACAGTTACCAGATCTCAATCCAATAGAGCACCTTTGGGATGTGGTGGAATGGAATATTCACATCATGGATGTGCAGCTGACAAATCTGCAGCAACTGCGTGATTATATCATGTCAACATGGACCAAAATCTCTGAGGAATATTTCCAGTACCTTGTTGAATATATACAACGAAGGATTAAGACAGTTCTGAAGGCAAAAGGCGATCCAACCTGGTACTAATAAGGTGTACCTAATAAAGTGGCCAGTGAGTGTATATACATATATAAAAATGTTATTAAATAATTTGATGTTTGTGTATATATTCAATTTATTAAAAATATATTACTTTAAATCTAGAAAATTTATTTATTTTAGTTTTTATTCTCTACATTTAAAATATCTTTTAGAAATATAAACATCACTTTTTTGATGTATTTTTTTACTTTATTTTTTAATTTATTTACTTTTTAAATTTCTTTAAATTAAAAAAAATGTATGATTAATAAAATACTAGTATGAATAATTATATATTTACTATATCGTCTATCAATGTAGTGTGTTTCTATCTATCAGTCTCTATCATTTTCTGTCTTTTTTTTCTATCAATCTGTCTGTCCTTCCACCCATCCGTCTATCTATTGTACTGTTAAGATTTTAACAATGATTGAAACATATTTTCTGTGTGTTTCAGTGTTTGCCACCTGCACATTCTCCAGCTTCCTGTTTGTGTGTTTCCTTCACGATGTGAAGAACGTGTTAAAAATGTTTCATCTGTCCTCTGGCGAGGAGATCCGCACCTTCCCGCTGGACGTGGGCTCGATTGTGGGCTTCACCGGCAGGAAGAAAGACTCTGAGATCTTCTACAGCTTCACCTCGTTCCTCTCTCCAGGTCTGTCAAGATTCAAAATTATGGACATTAATAACATTATAGGCGGCACGATGGCTCAATGGTTAGCACTGTCGCCTCACAGCAAGAAGGTTACTGTTTCGAGTCGTAGCTGTGCCGGTTGGCATTTTTGTGTGGAGTTTGCATGTTCTCCTTGTGTTTGCATGGATTTCCCCCACAGTCCAAACACATGTGCTATAGGTGAATTGGATGAGCTAAATTGACCATAGTGTATGAGTGTGTGTCAATTTAAGTGTATCACCCATACACTCAAATTGACACACACTCATACACTATGGTCAATTTCCCAGTACTGGGTTGCGGCTTGAAGGCCCTACGCTGCGTAAAACATCTGCTTAGATCAGTGTTTCCAACTCTGTTCTTGGAGGCACACTAACATTTGGGTGTCTCCCTTATCTGATCCATTCATTTCAGGTTGTGTAGTCTCTTCTAATGTTCTGATGAGTTGATTCATGTGTTTGATTAGGGAGAGGTTGAAAATGTGTACTGTTGGTGTGCCTTCAGGAACAGGGTTGAGAAACACTGCTCTAGATCTGCCAGTTTCAGACTTTTTAATGATTCTCACAGACTTATAGGTAGAGCTGCACAATTAATCGAAAAAAGATAGCGATCTCGATTCGACCCCCTAGACCAGTGGTGCTCAACCCTGTTCCTGGAGATCGACCTTCCTGTAAAGTTCGGCTCCAACCCTGATCAAACATACAAAAAAACAATCGATTAGGACCTGACCAGCACTTGATAATCACAGGCAGGTGTGTTTGATATGGGTTGCAACTGAAATCTAAAGGAAGGTCGATCTCCAGGAACAGAGTTGGTCACCCCTGCCCTAGACGATCTTAATCCAGCATTTCTATGATTCTGCCAATCATATTTTCAAGTTCTGGAGAAAAGCAAGGGCGGCTGCACGAGTCTTTTCATTGTTTCACACGTGTTGCTCAGCGACATGGACACCTCCAAACGATGTTAAAAGAGTCACATACTGTATTTATAAGCTATAATTCACCCAACAATGGCATTTCTGTCTTCATATAATGATGCATTCGCGGCCGGGACATCACACGTGACGTGAGCCGCTGACTGTGCGGGCGCGCGCCCTACTTAATGATAGACGTGCGCGCGTCTACTTTAGTGAACAGAACCCACATATGCTGTGAGTAACAGGTAATGAAGTTGTAAATAATATTCAGTTTGTGGAACAGAGTGATCGTTTGAAAGCCGCGTGTGAAGTATGAACAGCACTTCGCTGTGAAAATGAAACCGAAAGCGTGCACGTCATTTAAATATTAATTTCGCATTTTAGAGGAATGACTATAGCCCCTTTTACACAGTGATACCGGTAAATATCTGGAAAATTTCCGGAACGACTTTACCGGTATATTCAAAAAAGCGCTGTTCACACAGGCGAGGACGTTACGGAAATTTTCCGGAAATGAGCATTCACACATCCATTCCAAAATACCGGTAAATTCTGACATCACTCACCACAAATGAGCTTTAAACGGCTGCGCTTGTATTTGTAAACATTTGACTAAATTACAAACTCTGTGGATGATCAATATTGTGAACAACTTTCGCAGGATCACTTTCGCATGTCGAGATGTTCATAATATGTGCGTGTGCAGGCGCTCACAGGCTGTTTCACAGGCACACGCAAAGCTTGAAGGTAAACAAACAGCGGCTTATCATAAGCATCTCATCGATGATTATTTACACAGTTGACATTAAGAAGAACATATAAACGTGATCTGACTAACTTCTAGCAGCTAAATGTGTCTGGAAAAATATTCAAAGGCTTTTATTCTCACAAACCGCGCGGACGTAAATGCGTCTGACTGTTGTGATTGGCCAAAGCAGACGTCTCACGTCAGCACGTTCTAGACGTGCACGCGCTTATTCTGGCAATCTTCCTTCTGCATTCACACAGCGCAGCATTCCGGCAAATTACCGGTAATGTTACAACTTCTCTTTCCGGAAAATAGCCAGAACGAATTTACCGGTATTTTCAAAAAGGACCTGTTCACACATACAACCAAGGTCTATATGTGTGAAAGGGGCTTATGACAAGTTTTTTCTTTCATAGCAAACACTGAGTTTTGCATGAAAATAAATGTTTACAGTGTCAGTATAACTACTCTAGCCTATATAATGTTGATTTTACAAGTAAATGGTCTAATAATGTTCTCAATGACAGATTGCAAGCATAGGCCTATATCTCAAACATAATTCAACATCAGAATTATTATAAGTAGAATAGAATTATTTATGGAAACAAGTAGACCTACACATAATTTTAATATTGTTGTTTTACCATACGTTTGAGAAAAACTGTAACCTCATATTAAGCTTTATTTTACATCTACAGAATCGTGAGAGAATCCTGATCTTTATTTTAAGCAAAAAAAATCGTGATTCTCATTTTAGCCAGAATCGTGCAGCTCTACTGATAGGCATGATTATCTGCGAACCAGTCAAGTGTATATTTATATTATCTATTGTTTTAGTTTTATTATTAAGATATAGATAAAAGAAAACAATTTCTTACAATTATAAGGCTGACATCCCATATATCATGATTTGAGGTCCTTCAGGGGGAGGATCAAGCATTAATCTGAATGGTTATCCGCCCTTTAATTTGCACCCTGAGTATAAATGGAATAACTGATGATGGGTTGTTGAATTATTAGAAAGTAATGCACACTCAAGGTGTAATGGCGACTTTGCCTTGTCACGTCTCCATCTCGGGTGTGCATTATTTTCTAATAATTTAACAGTCAGATGTCAATAATTGATCATATAAATAACAGTCAGGTAACACAGTAATGAATGTGTTTCTGTGCAGCGATCATCTATCACTGTGATCTGACTATGGAGCCGCTGCAGCCGCATGTTTTCAGAGAGGTCACAGTGAAGGGCTTCAATCCGGCCGACTATCAGACCACTCAGGTACAGAAAGACACTTACAGATGCTTTATCTCTGGCCCTGTTTACACCTGCTGTTAAAGGGTCAGTTCTCCCAAAAATGGAAGTTCTGTCATCATTTACTCACCCTTGACTTGTTCCAAACCAGTTTGAGCTTTTTTGTTCTGATGAACACAATGGAAGATATTTTGAAGAATGTTGTAAAGCTGTAACGCTCATTGTTTTTCCTACTATGAATGTCCAATGGTTACAATTTCAAACATTCTTTAAAATATAATCTATGATTATATAGTTCCAGCAATGTGCAAATATTTTTCTTCCAGGTCTTTTATCCCAGTAAAGATGGCACCCAAATCCCAATGTTTATCGTCCACAAGAAAGGAATCAAGATGGACGGCTCCCATCCTGCCTTCCTGTATGGATACGGAGGGTTCAATATTTCCATCACACCCAGCTACAGGTACTATAGAAAGCATCCGTCTGATCACACACTGCACTGATCTCCATCCGGCTCCTGTAAACCTCAGTCTCTAACTGCTTGTGTGTTTCAGTGTTTCCCGGCTGATATTCATCAGGCACCTGGGAGGAGTTTTAGCGGTCGCCAACATCAGAGGAGGAGGAGAGTATGGAGAGACGTGGCATAAAGGCATGTGGCTGTAATAATCAGGGATTATTGTTGAATGCTAGTTTACGCTAAACTGAAATGCTTTTCTTATATGACATTTGCTGTTTGTTCAAACTACTTATTTAAAATGAGCTGAAACAACACACTTATTGAGTTTTTAGGGGGGACAACTTAATTACCCAAACACAACATTATTCCCTTCAGTCACCTTCCCTGTTCCTTACGTTTGAGACGCAGGGTCCAGAGCGTACAGTATATTACTATGATTAATTCAATTAGCACATAACTTTTAAAAACATGTCTCAGGAAAAACATTACTAGTGTGCAAAATATGTCAGTGAAACACACCTCGGTACTACATTTCAGTAAAACGAGTTTAAAAAAAAACAAAACAAAAAAAGACAGGACTGTAAAAGCGGGAAAAAACAACATATTTTATATAAGTAGACTATGTTTAATAACCTGTAATTGCCTATTTTCAATAAATGTGCTATTAGATTATGATTTTATTAAATTATATAGATTCAATCCAATTTGGTGCAATTTTCAAAATAAATCAGGTATATAACAGGGCAGGCAATGAAGCAAAAGCCATAGTTGTGTCTGTGCATGGATTTGCGTTCTTGTGGTGACTGGTCAATCTTGCAGGTTACCTTGGATGAACAAACTTAAACTGCGAGAACACAGAACGCATATGAGAAATGAGATGCTGCGAGCTTCCTGTTAATCACATGACCTTCACATAGAAAAATTTTCAACTTTAATAAAATAGTAATTTTTTTTTTCTTTTAGTGAAAATGTATAAATATTTAAGTCCTGAAGCACTGTCAATGAAGGTAATTAGTAAAATGCAAAGGAAACGGCAAGGATGGAAACGGCTTGCACCACCCGCGAGTTGTGGGGGCCCCCTAGTGACGATGGGGCCCTAAGCAGCCGATTAGTTCGCTTATAGGGAGGGCAGGCTATGATAGAAGTCCAACAACATTCTGACACTCGATGACACTTGAATACCCTTTTTTCCTCTGGAGAAAGTCTTATTTGTTTTATTTTGGCTAGAAAAAAAGCAGTTTTTAATTTTAGAAAAAACATTTTAAGGACAAAAATATTAGCCCTTTTAAGCTATTTTTAAATAGTCTAGAGAACAAACCATCGTTATACAATAACTAATTACCCTAACCTGCCTAGTTAACCTAATTAACCTAGTCAAGCCTTTAAATGTCACTTTAAGCTGTATAGAAGTGTCTTGAAAAATATGAAGTCAAATATTATTTACTGTCGGACAGATGAAAAGTCCATCTATGGAGAACATTAAATCTGCTTGCAGTAGAAATTCCAAGTGAAATTTGGGAACAAAGACTTGAACTGGTTCACAGATGTTCTATTAATGCAAGACATTGTCTCATACAGTTTAAAGTGCTTCATAGGCTTCATTATTCCAAGTGTAAATTAAATAAAATATTTCCAGAAGTGTCCCCAGTGTGTGACAAATTTCAGTTCTTAGATTCCAACCTGTCTCATTCCTATGTTATGTGTCCCAAATTACAGAGTTTCTGGAACAAAATATTTCAAGTTTTTTCAGCTACACTAGACATTCCTATTGAACCAGATCCTATATTAATTATATTTGGAGTTTCAGAAGAAGTTTTGAGACTTACACGGGTACAACAACAGTTTGTTTCATATGGGTTGATCTCTGCCAAAAAACTCATCCTTTTGTTTTGGAAGAAAACCATCTCTCAAATTATGGCTGACAGAGTTTCCAGTAGAGATCTGCGCGGGACTAAATTTTGAATCCCGCTCCCGCCCGCATGTGCCAGGTTTTAGCCCGAACCCGACCGCTCCTGCTTACATTCAGCATTTGTTGTCCCGTTGCCTGACCCGCCCCGTTTTCTACCCGCTGCCGCTGCCGTGGCCATCGCCGTCACTGACGTGCACCTCTCAAAAAAATGTAACTACACGTCGCAACGACGCGTAGCGTAAGCTCTGTGATTGGTCGGCTTGGTAGCGCTGACGAGTCTGGGCGGGACCGAGAGCCGCACGAATGGCGCGAGCGATTGTTTACAAGTGTGGAGTCCCGTGAAGGAGCTCCTGATGGAAAGTTTTGTTTTGTGTTTGCCTCATAGTTGAAGTTGTTGCACGTCCGCCGGTTCCTGCCTCAAAATGAGCAAGTTTGAGCCACTTGTACATCCCGGAAGTGTTCAGGAAAAACAAAAAAGCAGAGAAGAAACTCGACACAGAGGAACATTTACACCTCACTGCCAACTAGCGTTTCGGAAGTGTTAATGCAGACCGACAGAGACAGCGCGCAGAAGTATAAATGCACAGCCACGCGCGTTGCCTGCGCCGTGGGTTACGCCGGTCACTTGACGCAGAAGTATAAATCAGGCTTAACACACACACACACACACACACATAAGCACCAAGCACACACACAGGCAAAGCTCTCTCATTCGCGCGCACTAACACACACACACATAAGCACCAAGCACACACACAGGCAAAGCTCTCTCATTCGCGCGCACTAACACACTCACACATAAGCACCAAGCACACACACAAGCAAAGCTCTCTCTTTCTCTCTGCGCGCGCACACACACACACACACACACCTCTCATTCGCGTGCGCACACACATACACACAGAGCAACAAACAGGCTAAACACAGCATCGCGCTATTTCATTTACACACTCGTGCTCGCTCGGGAGTCGGGAGCGATATTGCTAGACGGCCCGCTCCCGTCCCGACCCGTTACCGACCGTTCTCGCGCTTTATTCGGAAATTTATTCCCGCTCCGCAGAAATCTGGTCGGGTGCCGCGGCTCCCGCGGGACAGCCGCAGGAATGCAGACCTCTAGTTTGCAGGTACACTACATCTGCAATACCTTTATATATATATATATAGATACAGATATACCTTTATAGACTAGGTTTCGTTATTTGAAAAAATTTTGGCCCCTTATATTTCCTTTTTACAAACTTGTAATTAATATGTTTACTATGCATTTAGTACCTACGTTTATTGTTGGATGGCACTGGTGGGTGGTTGGTTGGGGGAATGCATGTTTTTATTTTTATTTTTTATTATTAGTAAGTAGTATTAATTAATTATTATTTTCATGACTGTTGTTTGTTGTTGTTTTTTTTTCAATTATTATTTTACTTTTCCAAATGTTTAATAGTTTATGTCTAAACAAAGTGTATTTTCAAGTAAATGTCAGCGAAAATTTCTGATAATAAAAATATTAAAACCAAATATTATTTACTGTCATCATGGCAAAGATAAAATACATCAGTTATTAGAAATGAGTGATTAAAACTATCATGTTTAGAAATGTGTTGAAAAAAATCTTCTCTCCGTTAAACAGAAATTGAAGAAACAAAATTAAACAGGGGGGCTAATAATTCTGACTTCAACTGTATACTGTAAATATCATGAAAAACAGTCTGTTCCATTTGAATAAAAGTGGTCTCTACCGTCTGTGTGTTCCTGTGCAGGGGGGATGTTGGCCAATAAGCAGAACTGCTTCACAGACTTTCAGTGTGCAGCTGAATATCTAATAAAGGAAGGCTACACTTCACCCAAAAAACTCACCATCAACGGAGGATCCAATGGAGGATTGCTCGTGGGTATGAGACACAAACATAAACAGCAGATGCCCTTCCAGCTGCAACCCAGTAATGGGAAACACCCATACACTCTTGCATTCACACACGTACACTACAGCCAATTTTGTTTATGCAGTACACCTACTGTATAGTGCGATGCCTTTGGACTGTGGGGGAAACAGGAGCACCCGGAGGAAACCAGAGAAAACGTTTGAATTTGAACCAAAAAGTTAATCAAAATTTTCCCAAGACAAGAATGGATGTTCAATAGTTCTAGGCAGGGCTTTACATTAACACCCGCCAAATGCGGGTAGATTTCGGCGGTGGTGGGTAAGACAGACACTCCCACTAGCCACTTTGGCTGGTTGAAAATAATTTTCCCAGATAATAATACTTAAAAGCAGGGTTCAACAATAAGGATGCTCCAATATGCATGCACCAGCGATCGAGAAGCAACACGACTGACTAAAATAATTGCGTTCGCAACTTCGCGTGAGCAAAGCAGGTGAATACCGAATGAGAGGATAATCAATTGCGCAAAACAGCTGAGGTGATGCGCGCGACTGTTTATAACGTGTGCGCGCTCCCGTTTCCTTTTGTGAAGCAACTGTGTCTAGAAACGCAACTGATGCGATCGAATCTTTTTCAAATAGACTGAACAAAAAGGGACCATTCTTTAACCATTCTTTGAACAGATAATTTATGGGTCTATCATTAACCATGCGTGTGTGATCATCCTTTCATTATCATACAGTATGTTTTTACCTGCTTTCTTTTGCATTAATATGGTTTAATTATCATTTTTTTACAACAACATTACTTTAATGGAAGAATAACTCCCCATTTATGTGTAGTTAACTGGTGATCTGGGACCTTTAGCCAGGTCACATGACTGTTCATATGTTTTGTTATATAAAAAGTATAGTATTCAGCTATATTTAGCATGTTTTCACACATTTAAAATTTTTGGCTAAGAAATAATTAACTGTTTATTTATGGTATGGTCAGAGATAAATTAGGTAAATCCTTCATTTTGGTCTCTGAAAATGATGAAAACTAATTGTAATATATGAAACCCTGACCCATCTGCTCATCATGAAGATTGAGCAAGCTTATACACGACACACAAAAAGTGAAATCAATGAGGAGACATGTAGAGATAACACAAACTCTAAATCAAATAATTTTAGCAAGTCAAAGTCATATTTATGTGTGTATAAAATACATTTTCCCAACAATAAAATTGTGGCTAGTGAAGATGGCGAGTGGCTAGTAATGTTGGAAAACTACTAGCCACAGTGGCTGGTGGTCAAAAAAAGTTAATGTTAAGCCCTGGTTCTAGGACAACTTTGATTAAAGATATCAAATGTTGACAAATTTTGTACACACATGCTTTTGTTCTAGTTTCTGAGTGTGGTCTGTTTTTCTCCTTCAGCGGCATGTGTGAATCAGAGGCCTGATCTGTTTGGTTGTGCCGTGGCACAAGTCGGCGTCATGGACATGCTGAAGTTTCATAAGTTCACCATTGGACACGCCTGGACCACTGATTTCGGCTGCTCGGAAATCAAAGAGCAGTTCGATTGGTTAATCAAGTGAGTTTACTTTCACTTAATCACGATTAACCTTTGCTCAGCACTATATAAAGTTTACATAGTACAAAACTATAATAACCTTGCTTGCACTTTTCCAACTTAGTAGAAAATATAACCTAATATAATGTAAATATTTGTGATTTTTTTTTTTTTTTTTTTTTTTTTTTTTTTTTTTTTTTTGCAGGTATTCTCCTCTTCACAATATCCAAGTTCCAGAAGGCGATGGAGTTCAGTATCCCGCTGTGCTGTTGTTGACTGGTGATCATGATGACCGTGTGGTGCCGCTGCACTCTTTAAAATACATTGCCACCCTCCAGAATGTGATTGGTCAATGCCCCGGCCAGAAAAACCCCCTATTCATCTACATAGACACAAAGTCGGGTCATGGCGCAGGAAAACCCACCAGTAAAGTGATTCAGGAGGTGGCAGACACGTACGCCTTCATCGCTCGCTGTCTGAATCTCAGCTGGCTCGAATAAAACGACAATAATAATAATAATACTAATCTGTTCCTCTCCTTCTGCAGGTTTATCTTCAGCAACACTTTATAATAGCTACACACAGAATCGTTTATTAAGCATTAGGAAATAGTTCGTTAATTAGTCATCTATACATTAATAGATGTTAGTAAGCAGTTTATAAATACAGCTAGTTGTGTTCTTGACTTGCATGCACATGTATAATGTGCTTAATGATTGTGTTTTTTAGACTTTAATGACTCATTTTTCATTACTAAATTAAATATTGCGTTATTTACAAACCCCTTAAGAATAATTGCCGTTTTTTTTTTTTTTTTGATTAAGAATGTTTAAGTTTAATGATTAATAAACTATTCAAATTAGCATTTATATATCTTACTATTTAGACTTAGAATAATAATTACTTTGTGTGTTAATAAATGCTTCGTTTACAGACAGAGCTAAACGTGCTGCAATTTAAAAAAACTTGCGCAACTTCAAAAAATGTCAGCAAGATCTTCATCGGTTTGAAGCACACATGCTACAAATCCTACAAATCCTCACAACACAAACACATTGTTAAAAAAGGGGCTGCATTTTCTCACAGCACAAACAAACTAATAAAACATGTTGCATTTTCACACAATGCAAACAATACGCGCTGCATTTTCTCACAACGCAAACAGTTTACGAAAACGGATTGCATTTTCTCATAACACAAATAATTTACGAAAAACAAACTGCATTTTCTCACAACGCAAACAATTTACGAAAATGGACTGCATTTTCTCACAATGCAAACAATTTACAAAGATGCGCTACATTTTCACACAACGCAAAGAATTTATGAAAATGCGCTACATTTACTCACAAACAATTTCCAAAAACGTGCTGCATTTTCTCACAATGCAAACAGTTTACAAAAACGCACTTCATTTTCACACAACGCAAACAATTTGCAAAAACACGCTGCATTTTCTCACAATGCAAACAATTTAAAATAACGCGCTGCATTTTCTCACAATGCAAACAATTTACAATAATGCGCTGCATTTTCTCACAATGCAAGCAATTTACAAAAACGTGCTCCGATTTCTCACAAAGCAAACAATTTATGAAAACACTGCATTTTTTTCACAACGCAAACAATTTACGAAAACGAAGTGCATTTTCTCACAACGCAAACATTATACGAAAACGGGCTGCAATTACTCAAAGCAAACAACTTACAAAACCTACTGCATTTTCACACAACGCAAAAAATTTATGAAAACGCTCTGGATTTTCTTACATTGCAAACAATTTACAAATACAAGCGATTTCGTAAATTGTTTGCATTGTAAGAAAATGCAGTGCGTTTTATTCATTTGTTTGTGCTGTGAGAAAATGCAGCGCATTTTTCAAAAATGTGTTTGCGTTTAAGGATTTGCCGCATGTGTGCTGTTAAACCGATAAAGATCTTTTTTCAGTTTGCTGTTTTTTTTTATTGCAGGTCAGTTATATTCTAAACAGGAAGAAAAGAAGATAAACGACTTTATTCATTTTAAGATACACAAGTGAAACTGTATCAAATGAAAAATAAATCCTTGCAATCTCACCCAAAATAAAATTAGTGTACAGTTTAACCATCGCTAAATAACATTGAAATATTGTTTCATATTATATTGTTAAATAATTATATTGTTATTGTTTTACCCACTTTTGTGCTATATTGAGTTACTCAGCGATGATTAAACTTAACAGTCATTTTATTTTTCTTAGATAAGATTGCACAGATGTAATGTTGATTTGATATTGAGCCTTTAATTGTCGTTTATAAGGGAATAACAAAGCAAAAAAAAGTCCTCACTTTAGATAATAAAACTGCATCAAGTTGAGTTAATAAAGCATACAAAATAACTATTAATATAAGCCTGATAATTATAATATATAAATGTTGATTTGAATAGTTTAATCATTTACGCATTCTGAATGATCTTAAAAGCCACCAACTATTCTTAAACAAATGATTTGTAAACAATGCAATACTAAATATAGTAATGAAAATGAATCATTATCAAAGTATGAAAACACAATTATTTAGTACATTTAAATGTGCTTACAAGCAGTATACAGCATTTTTAGATGTTGTTATAAACTACTTACTAACATCTATCAATGTAGAGTTAATGCTTAACAAATAATGAATGAACTATTTTAACTTAAAATATGACTCAAAGTGTGCAGTTACAATTTCTTACACTTTCATTGCGTTCCTGCCTGTTCGCTCTCTTGTTCTCTGTCTCTCTTTTATTACTTCATAGATTATTGTTTAGAAATGTTTTCCCAATGCTGACCAGCTCGTTTCAGACTGGAAGTGTTGGGTGAACACTCATATAAGCTCAATCGCATTATTTGACTGGTCTCATATCATTTCACTACCTGTCACTGGGCTCTCGCTCTTAGGAAATATTATAATTACTGATGTCACATAGGGTGGAGTGTCATAATAACCTCTCCAGCACTTTACTAAGACTGTATTTATTTGTCAGTCAGGGAATCATGAGAAGTCGATGGAGCAATGTCAATGTAAAGCACTCATCAGGAAATCATTTCATGTGTACTAATAATAAACATGTTCAGGTCATATTTTGCTTCAATCTAAATAAAGTAGCCTGTATGTTATATATATATATATATATATATATATATATATATATCTATATATATCTATATATATCTATATATATATATATATCTATATATATATATATATATATATATATATATATATATATATATATATATATATATATATATATGATTTTTATGCATTTATACACTGTTTTTTAATGGAAGTTTGATATATTTAAGCAAGTGGTCAAGTGATGCAGAATTGGTTTTTATTTTGTTCATACTTTACAAGGTTTCATTAGTTAATATATTTACTAGCATGAGTTAGGATCGAATAATACTTGTATTGTGTTTTTTTAATCATAGTTAAACATTTACTAATGCATTTAAATGCTTCTTAACTTTAGTTATTGCACTGTGAGTTAACAAGAACTAACAGCGAATTGCTGTATTTTCATTATTGTTAACAATTTTGAATAAATACCCTAATAAATGTATTGTTTATCATGCTATCAGATGCTTTACCTAATGAAGCCTTATTATAAAGTGTTACCTTTATTTCTTAGTACTGTAATGTGTCCGGAAATGTTTATTATTAACCTCAATGATGATTCTCATTACCAAGTATGACAATGTGCATCTATTATTAGCGTAAACCGTCGTATGTTATTCTTTAGGCATACCTTTATATTTTACATACACAATTAAAGACTTGGGATGCTTTTGTTTAAAAATTATGACAGTATTTTGTTTGAATTGGGGTTGAAATATATCCTGAGCATGTTTCTTAACACGAGATTCATTCGCCCATACAGTGTTTGTGTGAGAGTGAAGTGTATCTCCTGACGGAAAATCAGTTTCTACCTCCACGTTTATGCAGATGTTTTATCTCTGAAGGGAAGTGCGAACGAAGTAACAGTACAATAAAACACATCTGAACACGAGTTTGAATTTGTTGTCGTGTCTGCCGTGTTAAAACATCATGTAGTTTAGCTTTACTCACAGTCTCAGGTGTGAGATGAATATCTGTAGTGTCTCGTTGTCTGCCTCTGCTGGCTGATGGCGGAATTGCACATTTATATCTGAAACAAAAACAAAGAAAATGATTCCGAAATGACTATTATATCTGCTTATTGCCCGTCAAACATTTTATTTCCTAGTTTAGCCAGCACATTGATCAAAAATGTTAATTTTGTTTGTCACAGCCAGAAGCCGTGCCGTATCAATGGAACTATGGTGTGAAAGAAAGCAGGGACGAAAGTAACATTAAAGATAATGTTTTTAGCAGAAAAATATTTGTGCAGTGGTTAACTCACAAGAGTGGTCTATCAAAATCCGCTGTTATTTTGTTATGATGTAGAACAACTCCAATATATCTTCACTTTAAACAAAAGTTCTTCAAAGTATGTTTATACCCATAGGCAGGGACGAAACTAGCACAACATTTGCTAGATTTACTGGCTTAATCTTATTTATTTGAAATGTATCTGACCTTGTTAATGTTCACTGTAAACATATTTTGTCCTTTATTTTTGTAAACTGCATTCTCATTTTAAATTTCACTTATTCCATTAAATGTTTCAAAGGCAATTCAACAGTGTAAAATTTTTACATTTTCTATATTTTTTTATTTTTGGCAATACAGTGCACCTGTAAACTATTCATAGCACTTGACTATTTCCACATTTTTTTAAAATAATATAGCTTTATTCCAAAATGGATTAAATTCACTTATTTCCTTAAAATTCTACACACAATTTCCCATAATGACAATGTGAAAAAAAGTTTTTGAAATCGTTGCAAATTTATTACAAATAAAAAACCTAAAAAATCACATGTGCATCAGTATTCACAACCTTTGCTCAATACTTTGTTCACGCACCTTTGGCAGCGATTACAGCCTCAAGTCTTTTTGATTATGATGCCACAAGCTTGGCACACCTGTCCCTGGGAATTTTTGCCTATTCCTCTGTGCAAAAACTCTCAAGCTCTATCAGGTTGGATGGGAAGCGATGGTGTACAGCCATTTTCAGATCTCTCTAGAGATGTTCAATGGGGTTTAGGTCTGGGCTCTGGCTGGGCCACTCAAGGACATTTACAGAGTTGTTGTGAAGCCACTCCATTGATATTTTGGCGGTTTGCTTTGGGTCATTGTCCTGCTGGAAGATGAACTGTCGCCCCAGTCTGAGGTCAAGAGCACTCTGAAGCAGGTTTTCATTCAGGATGTCTCTGTACATTGCTGCATTCATCTTTCCCTCTATCCTGACTCGTCTTCCAGTTCCTGCTGCTGAAAAACATCCCCACAGCATGATGCTGCCATTAGTATTAGCCTGGTGATGAGCGGTGCCTGGTTTTCCCCAAACGTAACGCCTGGCATTCACTCCAAAGAGTTCCATTGTAGTCTCATCAGATCAGAGAATTTTGTTTCTTATGGTCTGAGAGTCCTTCAGATGCCTTTTTGCAAGTTCCAGGCGGGGAGTGGCTTCCGTCTGGCCACTCTGCCCTACAGGCCTGATTGGTGGATTGCTGCACAGATGGTTGTCCTTCTGTAAGGTTCTCCTCTCTCCACAGAAGAACGCTGGAGCTCAGACAGAGTGACCATCAGGTTATTATTCACCTCTATCAACTGAATTGAGCACAGGTAAACTCCAATTCAGCTGCTGAAACATCTAAAGAATGATCAGTGGAAACAGAATGTACCTGAGCTCAATTTAGAGCTTCACGCCAAAGGCTGTGAATACTGATGTACATGTGATTTTTCAGCTTTGTTATTTTTATAAATTTGCAACAATTTCAAACAATCTTCTTTCACATTGTCATTATGGGGTATTGTGTGTAGAATTTTGAGGAAATAAATTAATTTAATCAACTTTGGAATAAGGCTGTAACAAAACAAATGTGGAAAAAGTGAAGAATGAATACTTTCCGGATGCACTGTATGCATTAATCTTATAAAACATATGAGTCAAAACACTAAGAACTAATGCTGAAGTGAAAAATAAGGCATGGCTATTAGCAGTGGGACACAAATAACAGTGTTACTTTCATCCCCACAGGAACTCTGGACATTTAATCCTGATTTTATTTTAAACTGAAAAACTCAGAGATTTCAAACTTAAGGATGTGTAATTGCACTAAATAACCTTTTATCATTATGTAAAGAGAAACACGACTTGTAAATAAGGAAAAAAGCATTAAAAACAGAAATCTGGAGCTACAGTAATTGTGGGACATGGTCTTGAAATCAGGTGATATTTGGCAGCTCCATCAAGGGTTGCATGCTGGAACTGCTGTTATAACCTGGAAAATAAATGTCAGGGCTTCGAGAAAACCACTTTGTTACTTTTTTCCCGCTCTTCCCTATATATATGTCTAACAGCTCAATCTAATTAAAGAAATAACCCCCCCCCCCCCCCCCCCAAAAAAAAAAAAAACTTCAGTCAATATTTACTCACCAAGTTTCTTTTTTTTCTCTGTTGAACACAAAGATATACTAAAGAACGTTGTAAAAACATAGCAGCTTGTATGCTTTGTACTTTATGGATGTCAATGGCTGCTTTTTCCCCTCAATATTCTTCAAAATATCTTATTGTGTGTTCAGAGGAAGAAAAAAATTCATAAACGTTTAGAGTCGCTTAACTAAACAATTTGTGAGGACATTTCCAATTAAGAGTGAACTCATTCTTTAATTTTCCTTCGGCTTAGTCTTTATTTCAGTAGTCGCCACAGCAGAATGAACCGCCAACTATTCCAGCATATGTTCCCAGTATTGTGAAACACCCATACTGCAGTGTGGTTGGTTTAATGACATTAATTGTTGAAGACACAAAACTTTACTTCTGTATTCGGATATTCCAACACAATCTCACGGCAATTCGTAACTTTTTGATTTAGTGGCTAATTTGATTAAATTCGTATGATCTAATTCGTACAATTTAGTACGGTTTGCTCATCCCCCAATGACAGTTGGGGTTAGGTGCCACACCTCCTTTTTAAACTTGTCAGTTTTCGTCCAACTGAACTCGTACAAATTCGTACGAATTAGCCACTAAACTGGCAAAACGTAAAATACTTACGTTTGCTCGTGAGATCAGGCTGGATATTCTTACAACTAACAGTATTCTGATATTCCTATACAAACAGCTCTCAATGTTGAGAAAAAGACTAAGAAGTGAGACAGACGGAGGGTACGCAGAAGCTACGGAAGATGCTCTAAGATGGATCCGAAATCTGCTGGTGCTAAAGGAGGACATGGTCCAGGCGACAGTTCTGAGGAATTGTTACAACCGCCATCTGGAGGAGGCATTGGAGCGAGCTCTCCAGATAAGGATGTCATCCGCCAGCTAAGAACTATGACTTTGGAGGACAGCTCTGAGGATCCACCTAAATGTTGATCTACATGTTTAGAAATCTTAAAACCTGTACATGTTTAGATCCATTACTTATGCAACTTATAACTACTTCTCTTGTGTTCAAAAGCTTGAACACTGTATAAAAGGCTGGAGTATACAAACCAGAACTGCTTAATAGTCTTCTCAATACTTTAAGTTGTAGGCCCTTTATTCTCAACGGAGAAAAGGATTTTGTTTTGTTCGTGCATTTGTTTTTATTCTTCTTTTTCAATGGATTTTATTTGATTAATAAAAGGGTATTTTGTTAATTTTCTTCACTGAAGTGGACATTGGGTTCATTTCAAGAGTTCACACTTAGCTGTTGGTTGATTATAAAGCTTGTTTGGCTTGTTCTGTCCCGGGAGAGAGCCCTGAGCTCATAAGATCCTCGAGCCTGGGGCTCCCTCCAGTTTGCAAGGCGAGAGAGGAGTTTGAGCTCAGGTAGATCTGGAGAACTCCCTTCCTCTAGTTGCTAATGAACAGACAGTGATTGCTCTTAAGAGATAACTACTAACTAGGAGCATGTCTATGGTGTTGATTTGGATTAATCAATTAACTAAAGTTGCATGTTTTTGGACGGTGGGAAGAAACCAGGAAACCCGAGGGAAACCCACGTGAGCACGGGGAGAACGTGTAAACTCTGGACAGAAATGTTTTCTGGCTTAGTAAAGACTAGAACCAGTGACGTTCTTGCTGTGAGGCAACAGTGCTAACCACTGGGCCACCCATCTAGGAGAGGAGGAGGAATAGGGGTGGAAGAGGGGATTCTTTAAAACGAAGATGGCTGTTATGGAGATTAGGGTATTTATAGTGGCTTAGGAATCGTCTGATTGGTGAATCATGAATTGAATAATGCGGGACCGGCCGCATGCAATTATAAGCACGTGATCGTCTAGAAATTAGTTCATAAATAAACTTCACCTGCAGAACCCATCAAGATACCTTGTGGTAAGGTATGAATACAATTTATTTCATGAACAACATTACAAACGACGATCCTAAACAACACCCTAGTTAAGAAATATAGCCAAGGGAGGACTCTGGTTTCTTTATTTATTTAATTCGAGTATTATTTCTTGTCGGCTTAGTCCCTTTATCAATCCGGGGTCGCCACAGCGGAATGAACCGCCAACTTATCCAGCAAGTTTTTACGCAGCGGATGCCCTTCCAGCCACAACCCATCTCTGGGAAACATCCACACACACATCCACACACACACACACACACACTACGGACAATTTAGCCTACCCAATTCACCTGTACTGCATGTCTTTGGACTGTGGGGGACATCGGAGCACCCGGAGGAAACCCACGCGAACGCAGGGAGAACATGCAAACTCCACACAGAAATGCCAACTGAGCCGAGGCTCGAACCAGCAACCTTCTTGCTGTGAGGCGAACATGCTACCCACTCCGCCACTGTGTCCCCAATTCGAGTATTAGAAAATGACAATCCAGCACAACACTTATACACTATGGATAATTTAGTTTATAGCGCATGTGTTTGGACTATGGAGGAAACGGGAGTACCCAGAGGAAACCCACACCAACACGGTAAAAACATGCAAACTCCACACATGGCAACTTGCCCAGCCCAATAGTATCTGGATGCAGCCTGTATGATGCAAGCTGAGATTGCACGACTCAGCGATGCATTCTCAGACACAATGCACTTAATGGAGTGAGTGATGTCACTGTGACGGGTAAGGTTAGGGGTGGGGTTAGGTGAGTGCATTATAAAGCATTGGAGAATGCACTGCACCAGGTCTGCAGCCAGACCCTTCTCGCCCAGCCGGGACTCAAAACGTTTTTGCGGTGAGGCGAGAGTGCTAACCACTTAGCCACTGTGCCGTTATGGTTAAGCTGTCCCTTTAAATCTTATTATAAAGTTTTCAATGGCTTAAATATTACATCACTGTTTTGAACCCAACAACTATTCAAATCAATGACTTAAAAACAGAAATCGTTCACACAGTAAAATAACTAAACAATCATTTCATTATATTAGTGTCAATATAGCCCTGTTACTAATGTTTTAAAATGGATATTTAGAAAGGTTCCCAGTTCTGGGTTGCAGCTGGAAAGGCATTTGCTGCGCAAAACATATCTGGATAAGTTGGCGGTTCATTCCGCTGTGGAGACTCCTGATAAATAAAGGGACTAAGCTGAAGAAAAATGAATGAATGGTATTTATCATTCAGCCTATATTGTGTCAGGCTGTTTTAATTGCAACAGTATAACAAGTTGTGTGTCTGTGTGCCAGATGTACAAGGTCGCGTGGTAAATAATTAAGGTCATTGACGTGAATGCTCTTAAGTCAACAATACCCCACCACCACCCCCTAAAAACTCTTTGTATATAGCTAATAATACTGAAGAAGGTCCTGATAGTTAACACAAACATTTAAAATCTGTCATCATTTACTCTCCCTTTACTTGCTCTAAACCCTCACGAGTTTCTATCTTCCCTTGAAGACAAAAGAAGATATTTTGAAGAAAGCTGAAGACTTCTATAGTAGGCTAGCCTATTAGTTTTTCCCATGGAAGTCAATCGTTACAGGTTTTCGGCTTTCTTTAGATTTCAGAACATCCTCTTTTGTTTTCAAGAAACTCATAAAGGTTTGACACCACTTGAGGGGGAAGTAAACAGTGAGTAAATTGTCGATTTTGGGTGAACTATCCCTTTAACCAAATACTAAACAATCACACTAGTAGGTTTTTAACAAATTAATTTAATTTTTTTTTTAGTCAAACATCCCGTTAAAGTGATCTGAATCTCCTAATTCAGCCTCTTTTTAAGTCTGGTGTTCCGGTGTGCGCGCGCGTGCACGGCGGGAGGAGTGTGTCGCGCGCATCGGCGGGTCCGGTTTTGGTCACATCACTTCAGGAGTTTCTCTCGCGCGTTACTCTTGATCATGGCGCCTCCTGACACCGGTTCCGCTCGGTTCCCGTGATGCCCGTGATGATGATGATGGTGACGGATGAAAGATGGAGAAACTATCCGCGAGCATTACCGGACTCTCGTGGAGCTCCGTGTCGCTGCCGCTGGACGTGATCGTGAGCAAATTCCGCTTACCGACACTCGTGCGGCTGAGCAACGGTAACAAACCATTCACTTAATTTATTTTACGATTTTTATTAAATGATACACATTTTAATGGCAGATAGGAACATTTAAGAAGTACATTTAGGAGAGTTACAGATTTTATTTGTATTTTAGTCACTTTACAATGAGGTTTCATCAGTTGATGCTTTTACTAACATGAACTAATGATGAGCAATACTTGTAAAGCATTTATTAATCATAGTTTAACATTGATTAATGCACAATTACAATGTATAAACAAAGGAAAACAAAGCACGAGAGTGTTTAATGTTAAAGTATTTGTTAAATCAAAGTTTGTGGATTTATAATCAGTGTTTGGTGTAATTAGAAACAAAGTAATTAGTTATTGTAAATAAATTACTTATTCGCTGAAAAAGTAAGGGATTACATAAAATTTTAGATCTTGTACTTGTCTAAAATACTCAATATTTAATATTTCTGTATAAATCAGTCTAGCGATCAGAGTAATTGTATTGTTTTTGTTATACAAATATATTTGGCAGAATGATTAAAATTTTCAAATAAATAGACATCTGTTTGACGATTGCACAAGAAGAAACAATTCATTGAGTCAGAAATTAATTACAATATCATATATGTGTGAATTATGCTGTTATAGCTTTCTATTTTGATACATAGGATGTTTAACTTTTATTTTTAGTTTAGTTATTTAATACACACTCAAACATTTTTTTTTTGCTTGTTCAAACTACTTATTTAAAATAAGCTGAATCAACACAATGCTTGACATTTAATTGAGACAAATTTTTTTATGTTCAATCCACAAACATTTGTTAAAAGTGTTAAGTTAACTTAATCAATTTGGATTGGAACAACATGAATGAATTGTATGGAACCCTGCATTTTTTACAGTGCATTTAAAAGTCCCTGTTTGACTCGAATTTAAATAAGAGTTTAACTTAAATCCTCCAGTTGTTGAGATGTATAGGCTTTACTATAAAGTCAAGTAACTAAACTAATTATTAAGTAACTAAATCGCTTTTCGGACATTTAAATGTTGTAATTAATAAACAATTACATTTCTGAAGCAACTCACCCAACATTGATTAAAATACATCAAATAATTCGAGAACGTTGAGCTCTGACTTTGTAAACTAACCTCAGAAAGACTCGGGATAGTTTTAAAATCACATATTCTACCCAGATGAAATGATTGTAACTTTAATGAAGGGTTGTGTAAATGTTTGTAACACAGACTCCTCAGTGAAGTGTGTAGTTGATTTGTGCGTTGGCTAAAGGTGACGGAGTGTGTGTTGTGTGTTAAAGAGCTGCAGCTCTTTTCATATGTTAATGTTGTAATGTGCTGCAGTGTGTGTTGAATACTAAACATCCTCCTGCAAGAGAAACTCCAACACTCGCAACTGAAGAAGGAGAATGCACAAATAAACTCCTATCAGTGTGACTGTGTGAAAGTTTGACTTTATGTGATTGGGGAAAGAAAGTTTAATGAGTGCTCGTGTGGGCGACATGGTGGCTCAGTGGGCAGCACTGTCACCTAACAGCAAGAAGGTCACTGGTTCGAGCCTTGGCTGGGCCAGTTGGCATTTCTGTGTGAAGTTTGCATGTTCTCCCGTGTTTGTGTGGGTTTCTTCCGGGTGCTCTGGTTTCCCAGTGATGGGTTGCAGCTGGAAGGGCATCCGCTGCGTAAAACATATGCTGGATTGTTGGCGGTTCATTCCACTTTGGCGACTGCCGATCAATAAAGGGAGTAAGCTGAAAAGAAAATGAAGGAATGAATATTGAAATAAACACGGGTGACATGGTGGCTCAGTGGTTAGCACTGTCGCCTCACAGCAAGAAGATGGCTGGTATAAGTCCTGGCTGGGCCAGTTGGCATTTTTTTGTGGAGTTAGCACGTTCTCCATGTGTTGGCGTGGGTTTCCTCTGTGTGCTCAGATTTCCGGAAAATGACAGTGTATGGGTGTTTCCCAGTATTGGGTTGCGGCTGGAAGGGCATCGGCTGTGTAAAACATACTGTGTGCTGGATAAATTGGCGGTTCATTCTGTTGTGGCGACCCCTGATAAATAAAATGACCAAGCCGAAGGAAAATGAATGAATGACTGCTTGTATGACTGAATGAGAACATGTTTTTAAAGGTGACCTAGTATGCCAAAATTACTTTTATAAGGGGTTTAAGCACAGTTGTGTGCCAATGCGTGTTAAAATAACCAGTCTCTTATAGTAAACATTTATAAAAACATTTTGACATTCACGCTTAGCACATGTAATCAGTGGTGGAAAGTCCCGCCCATTAGTGACCATCTCTCCCTCATTAGCATAAACAGCCCTGAGTGAGAAGCAGCCGTCTACCATTAGAGTTTTGAATCTGCCTCTATGCTGACACATTTTGTTTGTCATTATTTTTTGCTTTGTTTCTAAATATATTTCTGTTGTTTCTCTTGGTTTTACTTCTGTTTTTATAAATTTCTCTTTATTTTTACTAAATATTACTCTGTCTTATGTACTTTGGTCAGTCTTGTCGCTGTTTTTAAATGTGTTTTATAAACAAAATAAACTTGAAATTGTAGCTCCGCCCTCCTTTGAATGGAGAACAATCTCATTTAAATTTAAAGCGACAGTCACTAAAATGGCACAATTTGGATCAAAGCCTAAAAGGGGCAGTTCCAAAGAGTTATAAAACATTATTAGTTAAAATAATGAAAATTAAAATTGTTCTCCGAATCTAAAATGTAAAAAAGTAATTGAAATAATTAAATGTAAATAGTTGTGTTTTTACTTTAGATAATGTAAATGTCAACTAAAAGTATTTTATATAAGTATTGTTATAGATTTTTAATGGCACTTAAGGACATCTTACAAAGACAAAACATTGACAGTGAAATGAAATCAAAAAAACCTGCATGAACAATTTACAAATTAATTTAAGTTAAAATTAAACCTAAAATAAAGGTAAACTAAATATTCAATATAAAAAATTAAAGATTTAAACTAATAATGGGCGGCATGGTGGCTCAGTGGTTAGCACTGTCACCTCACAGACAGAAGGTCACTGGTTCGAGTCCTGGCTGGGCCAGTTGGCCTTTCTAGAGTTTGCATGTTCTCCCTGTGTTGGTGCTGGTTTCCTCCGGGTGCGCCGGTTTCCCCCACAGTCCAAACACATTCGCTATAGGGGAATTGAATAAGTTAAATAGTCCGTAGTGTATGAGTGTGTGTGAATGTGTGTGTGTATGGGTGTTTCCCAGTACTGGGTTGTGGCTGGAAGGGCATCCGCTGCGTAAAACATATGCTGGATAAGTTGGTGGTTCTTTCTGCTTTGGAAATAGAAACTAAGCTGAGGGAAAATGAATGAAAGAAAGTAATAATAAAAGCCATAATCAAAAGTACTAAAACAAAAGTAATGTCAAGGGACTTTTAAAGTGCAATAAATACATTAATAAATATGAAAATAGTTTTAACACCATATTAAAATAAAGATTTATTATGAATATCTGTCATGTTGACTGTAGTGTTTATTTGCAATGTTCAGCTCATGTCAGCTTGATTAGATGCTGCACAGTAAATAAATCCATAAATTAACAGTTTCACGCATTTTGTTATTCATGTTGTTATTAGTTTCACTTGTTAATGCATTTCAATTGCGTCATGAGACCTTAAACGTTCTTCTAACAACTTTTGATGTTGAAAAGTTTGAAATTTTTTTTCTTTTATTGACTTTTTAAATAGTCTAAAGTTATATATTGTCTCCAATAAAATATTATATTAAAAATATTGTAAAGTTGTATATTGTTGGTGTTGTAAATTACGGTACAAAAACGAACTGCTAATAAACTGCCAATACTATGTCTGTTATTTTATGGACTTAATTCTGAATATAGTATTTATAAGGGCTGCACAATATATCGTTTCAGCATCAATATTGCAATGTGATCATTCACAATAGTCACATCGCATTCGAAAGCATATGGAATGTTGGATTAATGCAACCCAGGCTCACTCTGACTATGTGGCCCTATATAAATTTCCGGAGATCATGAATTATGTAGCCAGAGATACTTATGGGAGCATTTCATTTCTAAAACGAACGATATGGGTCGGTATGACAAAGTTAATTTTCACCAGCTGACGTTCGAGTCCGGCGAAGAGTCTGGTAAGGTAAAAATGGAAGCCAAAAAATAAAATAAACATGTAAATAACAGGGTAAGAATGTGGTAAAATCTGAAAACGTGGTAAAAATCAGGTTAGGGCTTTTCTTTTTCTGGATTGCTTTTCAAAACACAGCGGTTGGGTTTAGGGAAGGGTGTGGGCGGGTTAATCGGTCATGTCATGTTATTTTGATCTGCTTATCCGGGGCTGGGTCGTGGGGGCAGCAGTCTTAGGAGAGAACTCCAGACTTCCCTCTTCCCAGACACTTCTTCTAGCTCCGCTGGGAGAGATCCTGAGGCGTTCCCAGGCCAGCCGAGAGACATAGTCCCTCCAGCGTGTACTGAGTCTTTCCCTAAGCCTCCTCCTGGTGGAACATGCCTGGAATGCCTCCCTAGGTAGGCGTCCTGGAGGCATCTGAAACATATGCCCGAGCTACCTCAGCTGACTTCTCTCAATGTAGAGGAGCAGCAGCTCTACACCGAGCTTCACCCGGGAGACAGAGCTCCTCACCCTGTCTATAAGGGTGTGCCCTGCCACCTTGCGAAGGGAACTCATTTCGGCCACTTGTATCCGAGATCTTGTCCTTTCGGTCATGACCAAAAGCTCATGACCATAGGTGAGAGTAGGAACGTAGATTGAGCGGTAAATTGAGAGCTTTGTCTTTCGGCTCAGCTCCTTCTTTGTCACAGCAGACCGATACATCGACCCCATTACTGCAGCTGCTACACCACTTCGCCTGTCAATCTCATGTTCCATCCTTCCCTCACTCGTGAACAAAACCCCAAGATACTCTAACTCCTTCACCTGGGGTAAAGACTTTCCTCCAACCTGAAGATGGCAAACCATCTTTTTCCGGTGGTGCACCATGGCCTTTGACTTGGAGGTGCTGATTCTCATCCCAGCCGTGTCACACTCGGCAGCAAACCGCCTCAGCGCATGCTGAAGGTCCATGTTGATTGAAGTTAAGAGAACAACATCGTCAGCGAATAACAGAGATGAAATCCTGTGGTCCTCGAACCGGACCCCCTCCAGCCCAAGGCTGCACTTGAAATTCTGTCCATAAAAATTATGAACAGAATTGGTGACAAAGGGCAGCCCTGCCGGAGCACAACATGCACTGGAAACAAGTTTTACTTATCGCCAGCAATGCGAACCAGACTCCTACTCTGTTCATACAATCACGAGATGGCCCTTTGACCCTATACTCCAACAGGACCCTCCACAGAATGCCAGGAGGGATACGGTCGAATGCCTTCTCCAAGTCCACAAAACACATGTGGACTAGTTGGGCATACTCCCATGAACCCTTAAGCACCCTGGCGAGGGTATAGAGCTGGTCCAGTGTGCCACGGCCCGGATGAAAACCGCATTGTTCCTTCTGGATCCTAGGTTCAACCATCGGCCAGATCCTAATCTCACGTACCCTGGCATAGACTTTTCCTGGGAGGCTGAGGAGTGTGATCCCCCTATAGTTGGAGCACACCCTCCGGTCCCCCTTTTTAAAAATAGGAACCACCACCCCAGTTGCCCAGTCCAGAAGTACTGTCCCTGGCCTCTATGCAACATTGTAGAGACGTGACAGCCAAGACAGCCCTTCAAGAACAGCAGGCACATGTGCGAGAGAAATTTGAGATCTGTAAAAGCGTACACAGCTGCCTCTATAACTAAAACTGCAAAAAACGTAGCTCCTGGGATGTATTTCACTCTCTCCAGAAATGTATACAGGGGTACGTACTCAGAATTAGCCCTGGTTGCGTAATCCAATTCATAAGCGTAAATAAACTGACAAAACCTGTGAATCATGAAATACTGCACCTGTGAAGTAACGGATTAGACAGTGTGTGTGTAGGAGGATCAGCGCAGACAGCAGTAATTATACACAACAGACAATCAGTGAGTGTGCACTCAGGACTCGCTCTCTGTCTAAAGCGTCTTTGTTTACACTCGTTCTGTTAATGCCGGATCAATAGAGTTGAGCTCTCTCTCTGTGTGTGTGTGTGTGTGTGTGTGTGCTGCATCTGATGCTGTTTGCGTCTCATGGCTGACCTCAGTTTTTCCCATAAACCCAATGTGAGGAAGTTCAAAGAGCTCATTTGATGTTTGTGGTTGAGCTCTGATGTGTGTGTGTGTGTATCTGTGTGTGTGAGTGTGCCTGTGTTTGTGATCATGTTTATCTGTGTGTATGAGTGTGTACAGTATGTGTGTTTGTGTGTGTCTGCGTTTGTCTGTCTGTGTGTGTTTGTATCTGTATGTATGTGTGTGTATGCGATCATTTGTATGTGTGTGTGTTTGTATCTTTATGTATAAAGGTGTGTTTGTGTGCGTTTATTTGTGTTGTGTGTATGAGTGTGTGTGTTTGTGTCTCTCTCTCTGTGTTTGTCTGTATGCGATCATTCGTATCTGTGTGTATGTGTTTGTATCTGTGTGTATGAGTGTGTGTTTGTTTGTGTAGGTGTATTTGTGTTGTGTGTATGAGTGTGTGTCTGTATGCGATCATTTGTATCTGTGTGTATGAGTGTGTGTTTGTTTATATAGGTGTATTTTTGTTGTGTGTATGAGCGTGTGTGTTTGTGTCTCTCTGTGTGTGTGTGTCTGTATGCGATCATTTGTATCTGTGTGAATGTGTGTGTGTTTGTTTGTGTAGGTGTATTTTTGTTGTGTGTATGAGTGTGTGTGTGTGTGTGTGTGTGCCTGTGTTTGTGCGGGCCTGTATCTGTGTGTGTGGCTGTTTTTGTGTTTGTGTCTATTTGTATCTGTATGTATGAGTGTGTGTTTGTTTGTGGATGTGTTTGTGTGCATTTGTATCTGTTTGTGTGTGTGTATGAGTGTGTGTATCTGTCTGTGTTTGTATGTCTGTATGAGTGTGTGTTAGTGTGCATTGAAATTCCCATGCTACACTGAGCGGCTATTGCTATTTTTCATGTACACATTGCGATATTGATGCTCAAATGATGTATGGTTCAGCACTAGCATGAACATTTAATTTCCCATGTTACCGAGCAGCTGTTGCTATTTTCTATGTACAAAGTGATGTATTAGTTCAATAGGCTGAACTAAAGTGTTATTGTCAGAGCAACGCATAATGTAGAAGTATAAATGTACAAGGCATGTGCTAGGGCTGCACGATACTGGAAAAAATCTGTCACTGGAACATTTTGTTTTGCTGAATAGCTCTATTTGGAAAGATTTCATTCATTTAGATCACATGTGTCAATTACAAGGCCAAATGCGGCCCGTCAAAACATTTAATCAGGCTCGACAACAAGTTTAGGTAATGAAGTTCAAGTGGCCCGTGCTCACTTTAAATATTAGGACTGTGACAATTACGATATTGAGACGCAGGTGGTGCTGTTGCGCTTTACCCTACTCACTAATTTAGACGTTAGCGTAACGTTATACTACATGTAAATAAGGTCAAATATTTCTGGGACTAGCACAATGTCAAAAAAATGTAAAGTAGACAGCGAATATCGACAATTTTAACTAAGGTGAAATAATCATGTGAATAAATGTTCTTTATAATGAAGCTGACCAAACCATCCTACAGATCCCGCCTCACAGACCACCATATTACATCTGTAATGAAAGTAGCCATGGCACAGGACATTACACCTAGAATAGATAAGATTGTTTCTATGAAAAGATGCAGGATGTCTGGTAAAACTCCCTAATTTCCCTAGGTTTGGAATGTAAGCCCAGTGCAAGTGTCCTTTGAAGCAAAATAATCTAAATAATATAATTTCTTACCATGTGTTTATATAGGCTACCATTTATCTATAATAGCCCACTAATAAATATATTGCTTTAATTTTTTCCCTCCGAAATAGTGATGGGAAGTTTACTGACTTGTATCTGTGAGTCTTTTTTCGAGTCATTTCATTCATTTGGTTCAATTTGCTAAAATATTGTTAAAATGTTAAAAATTGCTTCCAAACACATTTACAACTAGCCCAAAAGGATGATCACAAGACAAATAAGTCATAAATAGAATACTATAAGGAGGAGAAAATAATAATTCAATGTTTACCAGCTCTTGAAGGTATTTTTGTCTCTTTGCTCAGCTCACCTCTTCATGTCTTCAAATGTCAGTGGTTTGTTCACGTTACACTGACAGTCACATATAATCTTAACCAATGTACACAGTCTGAGCCGATAGGTGACATGATAATTAGTTCACCTTTCAATTCAATTCTTTTTCCGGCTCTAAACACATTTGATTGGCCCGTGAAGAACGAATGACTCAAACCTGATAGAGGAGTCGAGATGAATGGTTCAATTCTTTTTCCGGCTCTAAACGCAAATGAATGGCCTGTGAGGAACGAATGACTCAGACCCGATAGAGGACTCGAGAGGTGGACAATCAATTCTTTTTCCGGCTCTAAACCCATATGATTGGCTTCAGCCTTTCCGCGCTAAACGACTCAAAAGACTTGAAATAAACGATACCACCTGCACAAATGTGCGCATGCGCAGATGAACGAATCAGTCCCTCAGAAGACTTGTAATTCCAGAGTCATATTGAAGATTCGTTCAAAATGAATGAATCGTTCATGAACGACCCATCACTACTCTGAAATCCACAAGTTATGTTGTAGGCATTGACAATTGACATGGATCATTTCATGATTAGGTTGCCTTTTTAAAGCTAAAAGAACAAGTGCAATAATTAAGAATAAATAAATAAATTAATAAAATAAATTTAAATAATCAAAAACAATATCAGAAACCATCTGTTGTTTGTTACAATGTGGTATATCGGTTGTTGGCGTTTTGTTTTATCATCAGTTTTTTTCTGAATATGAAATTGTTTTTAAAGTAGACTAATGTTCTATGCCAGCCTACTGTACAGTTTCATGCTTATATTGGTTAGAGATCTTATTTCATGTTTAGAGAAAAATCCTGCTGTGACACAAATTAAATGTAAAACCTTACTATTTTGATAAATGTGGTTTAATGAAGTGTAAGAGATGTTATATAGTTGTCAATACACTTTTATTTTCTCCAATAAATAATTTATTTAAAAATGTGTATGTACGGCGCCTGATTTTACTCACAACATTCAGTGCGGCCCTTATCAAGTTTAGATTTGACACCCCTGATTTAAATCAACTGAGGTGATCAAGTGTTTTTCTGTGTGCTATGGGTTATAGCAATCACTCGACGCAGAAGTATAATTCAGCTAGGACACAATAGTGGTGGTGTTAGTGAGACCAGCAGGGGGCGCCTAACCTGTGGTCTGTGTGGGTCCTAATGCCCCAGTATAGTGACAGGGACTCTATACTGCTCAGTGAGCGTCGTCTTTTGGATGAGACGTTAAACCGTGGTCCTGACTCCCTGTGGTCGTTATAATCCCTCTGGCCTCTGTCCATCATGGCGTCTTAACCATCCCCATTTCGTAATTGGCTTCATCACTCTTCTCCACCAATCAGCTGGTGTGTGATGTGCGGTCTGGCGCAATATGGCTGCTGTCAAGTCATCCGGGTGGATGCTGCACACTAGTGGTGGTTGAGGAGATTCCTCAAAGAATATGTAAAGCGCTTTGAGTGTCTAAAAAAGCGCTATATAAATGTGAGGAATTATTATTATTATAAATAAACTACACAACAACAACAACTAACCGCCCAGCCCTGTGTGTATTTTTGGCATCAATGCTGAAGCAATTGTTTCGATCATTTGTGTATTTTTGTGCATGTGCAGGTGAGAATGTAGAAGGTTTGTCAGAGGAGGACGTGATTCTGCTTCACTCCTGCAGACAGTGGACCACCGTCACTGCCCACAGCCTGGAGGAGGGCCATTACGTGATCGGACCCAAAATAGACATCCCATTACAGTATCAAGGTACCACAACATACACACTGAAGCCTGTTGCATAAAAAGAGTTGATCAAACTCGGGTTGCAAATTAAGTTTTAAGTTGACAAATCAAAAAAAAAAAAAAAAATGCAAAACTGCGATATTCAGACTGTACTTACGCTTCCATCCACCTATTATTATGTGCATTTTGGATATGTGCATAACAAACGGTTGATAGAAATGCTAAGATGTGGATCAATTTTGAAAATGTGTATTGACAAAAAGTATGCGCATAACGGAGTAGGATGAACTTTTTATTTGATAAGAAAAGATGTGCATAAAATACGATAGAAACACTTTTACTGAACAAATTCCAGTATGCGCATTAAAACATGTATTGTGATGATAAAAATGTGTGTGAACGGATAAACCAGCAGGCTGAGCACATTGAAAAACATCTGAAATGTTGTTTTGGCCACTCTAATACACCTTAACCATCTCAGTATTAGTGTTATTATATTATTAATGATCTCCAGAATCAAGAGCGTCTGTGCTCCGCGTCTCATGCTTTTAAACGCCACTGCATGTTCACTGCGTGCATTACTTTCTGAGAGGCAAGTCATTTATTAAATGTAGACAAGATTCACGCAGCTTCTCTTATCACAGCAAATTCAGTTTTTACAGTTAATGTTTGGCGTCAGTTAATCAGGAAGTGACGATGTTGTTCGCTTTGACTCGTTGAATGGAATCACTGCTTTATTCGCACGTCTTTTATGCGATAATCCAGTTTTGCGCATAAAGTTGATAAGCATTTTTGAATTGGTTTTGATAGCTATAAACATAGCTATTGATAAGCTGCACTGTGTGAATATTCAAGATCTTTCAACTTGACACAGCATCTAAAAAACGCGGCGCTTGCGTGCACACCACTTCAAAAGTGGCATATTTAGTGTCTATACCATATTTCCTTCCAAAGTTCTGTTAGTACAAGTTAAGTATTATTCAGTTAAGCTGAGCCCAGAGCAGAGAAAAGCTAAGATATATCAGGAAAACAAAGCTGATTTTTGTCAATTACGGACACAGTGGCGCAATAGGTATCGCTGGTTCGAGCCTCGGCTGGTTCAGTTGGCATTTCTGTGTGGAGTTTGCATGTTCTCCCCGTGTTGTCATGGGTTTCCCCCACAAGTCCAAAGACATTCGCTATAGGTGAACTTGGTAAGGTAAATTGTTCGTAGTCTATGTGTCTGAGTGAGAGTGTATGGGTGTTTCCTAGGGATGGTTTGCACCTGGAAGGGCTTCCGCTGCATAAAACATATGCTGGATAAGTTGGTGGTTCATTCCACTGTGGCGACCCTAAATTAATAAAGAGACTAAGCCGAAAAGAAAATGAATGAATGGAACTATTAGAAAGACGCTCAGACCGGAGAGAGGCAGATGATTGGTTGTTAACAGTATATTGATTGTTGTATTCAAGCACTTAACTTCCCACATGCTCACTTAGAGGCTCTTCGTTACACACACATTCAGTCTCTGCTCTCTCTCTCTCTCTCATACACACACACACACACACACACACACACACACACACACACACACACACACACACACACACACACACACACACACAATTCAGTCTGTTTTATTGCATTGAGTGTTTTCATACAATAAAGACAAAGCATTCAGGCAATACAGAAACAAACATGATCATTATGAATGATTTTTACATTAAAAATTCTAAAAATGTAATAATTAAACACATGTATTCTTACCTGTACTTAATAAAACATAAAATTAAACCATTAATCATACAAAATTTGTGTGTATTTCATTCATTCTTCTTCAGCCTCATCCTTTTATTAATCTGGGGTCGCCACTGCGGAATGAACTGCCAACTTATCCAGCATGTTTTACGCAGCGGATGCACTTCCAGCTGCAACCCAGTTCTAGGAAACACCCACACACACTCATAAGCCAATTTAATTTTTGAAACAAATGAAGACAGCAGAAGTCAATGATTTATTTTCATTATTTAGCCTGACATGTTTACTGTTCTAAAATATTATAAATGGTTAAAAATATTTTTATATAAAAAAAAAACGTTTTGACAAAATTACAATTTATTAACTATTTAGCAATATAGCTTAATTGTCTTACATTCTTACAATAACATTTGTTTAAAAGTTCTCCATGTTTTATGCATACATTTATGCTGTGTATAAATTTTGTTTGTTATTGCTTTTAAAACTTAATGCTAAGGTAATTCTAATAAAAAAATATATGTATATAACTAAAGTTTGCTTGTTTTTACACATTATTTAAAATATGTTGCTAAGAAATACCTGAATTTTAATGGAGCACGTAAAAAAATCCACTAGTTGATATTCAAAGTTATGAGCGTTTTTCCATGTGAAAGTCTGAAATTTAATTCATAATGGTCTTAAAAAGGTCTTTAAAAGTCTTAAATTTGACGTGATTAAACCTGCAGAAGCCCTGTTTTTACTCAGACATTTAAAAAGATTATATTTTAGAGTAGTAATCACAATACCATCAAACCGTGATATTTTTATCAAAGGTTATCGTGCCTTCAAAATCTTAAGCCCATGCCTACTGTCATTATGGCAAAGATAAAAGATATGATTTATTAGAAATAAGTTAGTAAAACTATTATGTTTAGAAATGTGTTGAAAAAATCTTCTTTCCATTAAACAGAAATATTGTGAAAATGTACAGGAAGGCGAATAATTCTGACTGTATATACAACATAAAAAAAACATTGAGCAAGACACATTCTAATATACAAGGGCTAAAAAATAAAACTTTCTTACTGTACTACTTTGATTGGTCAAATGTTCTTATCAAACTTGTGTATTACACTTTAAAAGACAACTATTTATGAATGGCTGTCAATGCATAACGGTGCTTTTTGCCCACAGAATGCTGTAGTTACGCTATATATCCAGCAGGGGCAAATGTTTCAATCCCAGACCCTTTAATAGCGCTCTCTCATTCATAAACTCCAGCTTATCATTACCTCACCCTGACGTCATTCCCACGGGAGTCACAGAGGAGCCCGTTTACCGAGCTTCCGGAATTGCAGACATTACAGTGCTGGACTTCCTCTCCCGGGACACAAGTTACCTAATATACCCGCCACCCGCACCATTAGGTCAGGTGACCAATGAGATCATCTGCTGGGGTTTCCGGAGGCTGTAAGATGCTGAGAGGGAGGAATGAGGTCATTTGTGTCTAACGTCTTGCAGATAGACTGATAGAGTGCTAATAACAAAGATGGAATTACAGAAGGATGATTTTTTTTTTTACACAGCTGAGACATGCAGAAGATGAGAAGACGCTGATATTGTCGATTTGCACATGATTTGAAAGAGGGTGTTTAGTGATGACTCTTTAAAGACAGTGTGAGTGTTTGACCTTGATAATGTAGGGTTTTGGGAATAGATGGATGGATGGATGGATAGATAGATAGATGGATGGATGGATGGATGGATGGATGGATAGATAGATAGATAGATAGATAGATAGATAGATAGATAGATAGATAGATAGATAGATAGATAGATAGATAGATAGATGGATGGATGGATGGATGGATGGATGGATAGATGATGGATGGATGGATGGATAGATAGATGATAGATAGTGATGAAATTCCATTAATGAATAAATAAATAAGACAGATAGATAGATAGATAGACAGACAGACAGACAGACGGACGGACGGACGGACGGAGATAGATAGATAGATGCTACCAAGCAAAATGTGTAATTTTGACCCCTGAACAGTGTAGCTGTGATTGGTTTAAAACAGTAGTTTTAGAGGCGTTCACATGACAGGGCAGAAGTTTTTCAATGCAAGAGATTTATTTTGTGCAAATGCAGCCAGAACAGACGAGTGAATCTCCAGAAGTGAAAGAGAGTATTTGAGCTCTGAGTGTGGTATAGGCCAGCAGAAAGAAAAGCTGTTGCTGGGAGACTGAAAGACAAAGAGAGATACGCTCTCTCACACTTTATCTGTGTGTGTGAAAATGACCTATAAGATCACACACTCATCCCTAAATGAGTACATACCATAAGCTGGGTTTCTCTCACTGTGTGTTAATGCTCATTTTGAAGTACACTGTGAGACATTTTATTGTATTTTTGTGGTAACTTACTGGCAGCACTGTTGGCAGCAAGTTACCGCAACAGCCCCTTCACAGTAGCTTACCTGCAAATGTGTTTTACAGCAGTACTTGATAGGTGCACGGTTTACCGGTACTATGCTAGCATTGCAAAACTATAGCTGCGTCCCAAATCGCATACTTGTGCACTATTCTACGCCATTTTGTAGTATAAATAGTGTAAGTAGTGTGTTCACACTGAAAACTCTAAAAACATTAAGTGCACTTTAATTACCCGGATGATGCACTCATTCAGCCGCTAAAATGAAGTGTGTAATGATGGACACTTCATTACACACTCAACGACCGCAGGTTTGCTTACGTAGCGGAAGGGGCGGAGCTATCGGACGCACATGTTGAATAACTTTATTTATTTTGGATGGTGAAAGCAAAATTCTCCTACAAGAGTGATTATAGCACCTCCCGATGGTGAGTGCGGTTATACTCACGGCAGGTATTATTTGATAATTAGGTTGTTTATTTCACTGATCTGGCAACCGTCAAACGTGATCAGGGAAACGATTTGAATTTCCGCTTAGTACAAAAAAATTAGTGTGCCATTTGGGACGACACTACATACATATACTATCCTGTTGAGTGTGTAAGTGCATAAGTACATAGTGCATGAGTGCATAGTGTATAGTGTGCCATTTGGGACGCAGCTTATGACTCCAAAATCCTGGCGGTGCCACTGTAGTTTGTAAACGGTAGTATCGTCACTAATGATAATAATAATAATTTTGACCTTAACTGTAAATCACCTCTATGGACAGCTTCTGTGTTCGTGTGTTTCAGTGTGTTTTTCTCTGTCCTCAGGGAAGTTTAAGTTATTGGATCAGGATCGGGATGTCCGTGAGCCGGTTCAGTATTTCGGAAGCGTGGAGGAAATCGCAGGAGTGTTTCCTGATCGCGTGTTCGTCATGGAACCCATCACATTTAGTGTTAAGGTAACGCCAGCATTTCACATATATAAATTTATTAGTAGTGTTGTGATTGTGCACTGAAACTATTTGCAGTTCAATTCAATATAATAAAGATGAACAAAAATTAATATTAAATATTTCTTCGGTTTCCCCCACAAGTCCAAAGACATGCGGTACAGGTGAATTGGGTAGGCTAAATTGTCTGTAGTGTATGTGTGTGAATGAGTGTGAATGGATGTTTCCCAGTGATGGGTTGCGCCTGGAAGGGCATCTGCTGTGTAAAAACATGGATGAGTTGGCGGTTTATACCACTGTGGCAACCCCAGATTAATGAAGGCACTAAGCCGAAAAGAAAATGAATGAATGAATATAGATGGTCACTGAGGATTTTCTGGGGAGTCGAACAGTATTCTGGTACAGAAATTGAACAATCACAAAGCCATAAATGCTTTTCTTACTTTGTTTTGCCTTATTTCTAGTCCAAATATCTAAAAATACTTAGATCAAGTAAAATATATAGTTTTGTTTTTAACTTGAGAAGAAATGAGTCAAAATTAATTGAGTTTTTCCCTTAAAAACAGGTGAAATGATCTGCCAGTGGGGTAATTAAAATAATCTTGTTTTGCTTAGAAATGAAGATATTTGGACTAGAAACAAGACAAAAATTCTAAGTAATAAAAACATTTTTATTTTTCTGCATAAATTGTATGTTTTCTCCATACATACAGTAATCAAATACAATTCTGTTGCTTGTGTTCAACTATAATTCAGACTCAACATTGCACATCTTGTGATGTGACTATTGCAGGTGCGAATATTGGTATATCGATGCTGAATCAATATACTGTATTAGTATGAGTGTTTCCCAGCAGCTGGAAGGGCATCTGCTGCATATTTGTCAGAGTAGTTGGTGGTTCATTCTGTAGTGGCGACTCCTGATAAACCCAAACCAAGCTGTGGCAAGGGGGCGTGGCCGAGAGCCGTGGGAGCAGAAAGAGGCCGCCGCGTAAGTGGATACACCTGCGGTGCGCACCTGCCTCGAATCCCACGGAAGGAGCTCTGGACTATAAAAGGAGGAACAATGGCAGAGGAAGCCGAGAAAGGACCGGGCCCGGACATATTTTACTTTTGCTTTCAGTTTGAAGGCAGTCTCCGTGAGGAGCTGCCGTCCGTTTGTTTTGGTTTAGACGGCAGTCTCCGTGAGGAGCATGTTATAAATAAATATTTTAAAACTGAAAGCAAAAAGTAAAATATGTTCGGGCCCGGTCCTCTCTCGGCTTCCTCTGCCATCGTTTCTCCTTTTATAGTCCAGAGCTCCTTCCGTGGGACTCGAGGCAGGTGCGCAACGCAGGTGTATCCACTTACGTGGCGGCCTCATTCCATTCCCACGGATCTCGGCCATGCCCCCTCGCCACACAAGCCAATAAAAAATGGATGAATGCTAAAACATTTGTTCCTCCCTCTTTCTCTTGCTATAGGTGGTTTCCGGGGAGTTCACAGAGGACAGCGAGTTGTATAATTTCTCTCTGCAGGCGGGAGATGAACTGACTCTTATGGGCCAAGCAGAACTGCTCTGCGTCCAATCAACTCGCGAGAAATCCCGCCTCACGGCGCTACTGCGCCGCCTGGGCAAAGCAGGAGGAGCACTGGGACGTCCAGCACGCACGAAGATGCCTTGTTTAATATGCATGAACCATCGAACCAATGAGAGCGTTAGTTTGCCATTCCAATGTCGTGGTCGGTTCTGCACGCGCTCACTGCAGGAGCTTCAGATGCAGGGAGGCGAACACACCGTACGCAGCATTATTGAACGCGTGCGGCTACCGGTGAACGTTTCTGTTCCGTCACGACCTCCACGAAATCCGTACGACCTGCACGCCATCCGCGAGGGTCATCGATATAAACTTCTTAGCATCATCAGCAAAACTGTTGTTCTCTGCTGCATACTTCGCAAAGAGGAAGTGATGCCTTCTCACTTCCTGTTATTAACGGACATGCCACGGTTTACACTTCCAGAGGGTCTTTTGCGCGCTGATGCTCCCTACCAGCAGGTGGTGCTACAGTGCGCACTGCGCTGCCAAGAAAGCTTCGATGCGGACGATTATTCGCGTGCCGTACGTGAAGTCAAAACTGATTTCTCAGAGGAATGTCTCAGTCCGAGGCGAATTCGGGTGTGTGTTCAGGGCTACGGGCGTGACGAGTTGGGGACATCCCTGCAAAGACTGTCTCTGTGTGTGTACGGAGGCGGAGCGGTCACGCACACACACACAATCTCACACGGCTGCAGAGACTCACTCGTCGACTCGCACACGCTGCCCTCTAGTGACGGCGATGGGGAAGAGCGAGAGTACGTCACGCCTGATTGGTCGACAGAGTCGCAGGAGATTCCATACGAGGAGCTCTGGACCAATCAGACTTCTGGAAGTTTTGGAGTGACATCTGAGAGCGCAGTGAAGGCGGAGCATAACCTCATATCATTTCATTCCACTACTACGTCATTGGATGGAACGGTAGGCTCCACCCACATCGCTATGGTGCAGATGGATGCAGGAAGAGTGCCAAGGGTGTCGACCCCACCCCCTGTCCCACCAAAATCTGAAGCTGTAAGTAGATATTTTATAGATTTTCAATTAAAAATGTTTTTTTTGTTAGGATCATACTGCTTTTATAAATGATATAAACCAGGGGTCACCAACATGGTGCCCGCAAGGATCACATGAGTTGTCCACGGGCCTGTTTTGAAAAAAAAAATTAGGTCACCATAGCATCACCATTAAGATTTATCTTAAATTTTTTGTATCTATGCTTTTTAAATCACACTTGCATTGCTGTAAAACTGAAAATGACATTAAGTTACTGTATAATGTATGTAAACATTTTTTTAACTATTTCAGACAAATGAAGTGTTGCATATTGATATTTATCTGTTTCCTACCTTGTTAAATAATTGATGACAAATATTGTGAGAAATCATTAACATGATCAGTGTTTTCACATACAGTAGATCAGTGGTTCTCAAACTGTGGTACAAGTACCACTAGCGGTACGCGGGCTTACTTCTAGTGGTACGCGGAGGAATCACTGAGTAATTAAAGAAAAAGTAAACACAATTTTAATCGTTTGATGCATGCAATAACACCAATGTGATCCACATTGGCTGTTCTAGAAATTCTACGATCAAAGCTCTTGTGCTTAGAATGTTTACTTTAGTGCATCGAGTCATCAGCTGCTAAAAATCAATCCAAATGACGCAGAACAAGAGATTAATTATTATTAACCCCCTGGGGTCGAAGACCGCGTATACGCGTTCTGACAAGTTTTTACCTCATTGAGCTGAAATGAACCTAAATTACACTTTCAGTTTTGATCGTACAAATAAGATCAATACATCAATCGAATCTGTTAGGTGTCTACCTTTAAATGTGTACACTCACAACAAAAACAAATGTGTGTGCTTTTGCAAAACAAGGATAATAAACAGTGTAGGCATTCTGTCTTTTCTCTCTCCGTGAACTGTTTTTAGAAACGCGTCAGTAAAATGCGCTGAAACTCTGCGAAAATAAAACACCCAGAGATGAGACACATATGATTATAAAGCTTTAAGTGTCTACTTTTAAACGCAGCTATGCATGTTGAAAACAAATATTGTTTAATAAAGTAATCAGTATGAAACCAACGCTATGTCTAGCTTCTCAGTCTGAGCTCATTAGTTAATGCGACCACGCCCACGAAGCTTTGACATTACAAACAGCCTGCATGAGGAGCGCGCAACAGTAGACGGTGTAAGGAAAACACGTCATTAAAATGAACTGAAACTCAGCAAATACTCGACAAAGAAACATGTGAGATGTTTCTAAAGAAAGCTTGATATGTCTATGTTTGCATTAACCAATTCAAGTCGAAAACAAATAATCTCCTTTCATGCAATCTGTATAAAAGTAAGGACTGGTACTGATTCTCCTGTCGCCTCATTTTATTTCCGTTTTATTTTATTATTTAACCGAACGATAATTTTTTTTGAAAAAGCTTTTATTTTGAAAAATGACAGTATTCTCTTGTTACATCTCGGTCACCTGAGCATCAAAAGTTAACCCTCAGATTAGTGAAATGAGTAAGAACTGCAGCATGGCGCGCTCGCGTATTCCAGGTATGCTCAGTTGAAAACATCTTAACTTTTTAGAATGCTGCACCTCGAGTCACGTGACACGGACCAACTGATCAGCTTCATATTTTGCATGGTTTATATTTTCAGTAGACTAATTATCTCAGACAAGCACAGAACACCCAAACACTGCAGAGCTTTTTAATTTTTTCCATAAATAAAACTTGTATCAGAGCTGCAGCAATGTTTTGTCAGCTTGACATCCTCTGAGAAAAACGGGTTCCCTACCAATACATACAAATTAATGTTTAGATTTCAAAAAGTTTTACAAATATGTCATGTACATGCAATATATATTTCAAAATTATTCATAAATTGTAGAAATATGAATATGACTCTGCCATAAACTACTTAATTTGGCCAACTACGCTACTTTATTTCAATACTGGTCATTTTGGTAGTACTTGGAGAGACACTTTTCTTTTGAGGTGGTACTTGGTGAAAAAGTTTGAGAACCACTGCAGTGGATGAATATAATTAATTATTAATAGTAACGTATAATTAAAAGTGAATTGAGAAAAATTGTTATTTAAGAAGTGTGTATCAAATTGATAGCCCTTCACATTAATCGCTACCCAAGAAGTAGTTCTCAGTTTCAAAAAGGTTGGTGACCCCTGATATAAACATACAGTTGAAGTCACAATTATTTAGCCTCCTGTGAATTTGTTTTCTTCTTCAAATATTTCCCAAATGATGTTTAACAGAGCAAGGAATTTTTCACAGGATTTCCTAAAATATGTTTTCTTCTGGAGAAAGTCTTATTTGTTTTATTTCAGCTAGAATTAAAGCAGTTTTAGGTCAATATTAGCCTCCTTAAGCAGTATTTTTTTGATTGTCTACAGAACAAACAATTGTTAAACAATGATTTCCTAATTACCATAGTTAAGTTTTTAAATGTCACTTTAATCTCAATACTAGTATCTTGAAAAATATCTAGACAAATATTATTTACTGTCATCATGGCAAAGATAAAAGAAATCAGCTTAGAGATTAGTTTAGTTATATATATATATACACATAATATATAATAAGATTTTGATTATATTTACTTATTTTTTTTAATTATATATATATATATATAATTAAAAAAAATAAGTAAATATAATCAAAATCTTATTTTTATGGCCTGAGCTTGGGTGAAACTCGGTATTACTCGGTATTTACTTGGGTAAATGTTTTGGGTAATAGTCTTTTTTTTCAGAGGTCATTCTCTTTACAAGAAAATTCTCTTTAAAGTTGATGAGTTGGCTGCGTCAGTATACTCAAGCAAGAAAATCATGTTTTGATAGTTACAGTGTTTGCATTAAACTTTAAATCATTCAATATTAAAGTGCGCAGGAAATATATTTATAATTTAAATTCATAACACAAATAAAATTTTTTAGAAAAATGACATAATATTTAAAAACTGTATTATACTATGCCATTGTAAAAAGGATAAAGCAATTTACATTTTACTTAAAGATAATGACAGTTTTGTAAAAAGTTTAAACTTTGACAAAATACTTAATGATTCTGAAATATGTGTTTTTTTAAAAATAATTATCATAAACACTGTTATATACAGTTGAAACCAAAATGATTCGCCCTTTCTTTGAATTTTTCTTTTTCTTCTTCAAATATTTCCCAAATGATGTTTAACAGGGCAAGAAATTTTCCACAGTATTTCCTATAATACTTTTTCTTCTGGAGAAAGTTTTATTTGTTTTATTTCGGCTAGAATAAAAGCGGATTTTAACTTTTTTAAAAACATTTTAAGGTCAAAATTATTAGCCCTCTTGAGCAATATCTGTTTTAAATAGTCTACAGCACAAACTATTGTTATACAATGACTTGCCTTATTACCCTAACTTGCCTAATTAACCTAGTAAAGCCTTTAAATGTCACTTTAAACTGAACACTAGTATCTTGAAAAATATCTAGTAAAATATTATTTACTGTCATTATGGCAAAGATAAAATTAATCAGTTATTAGAAATGAGTTATTAAAACTATTATGATTAAAAATGTGTTTAAAAAAATCTTCTTTCCATTAAACAGAAATTGGGGGAAAAATATACAGGAGGGCTAATAATTCTGACATCAACTTTATATATAAAAGTATAATAAATAAATATAATCTATATATATATATAATAAATATATAACCTCTTAACCTTTCATTTCAATTGCTTTAAGGATGAAAAATTCAGGATATGTTCTTGACCAGATTCGTAAGACTCATTCAGACACTTTACTAGCATTTTCCGAGTTTCTGACCCTGAGCTCAGCTGAACTGTAGTTTAGTAACCCTTTTTAGCCTCAAGAGATTCATTTTGTCTTCCTCTGTCCTTTTGCTGCGTCCCACACATAAACACACTCAAGAGTCATATGTGCATTACGGTTCACACAGTACTGCTGCACCAGACTAAAGACTAAATTATTGATACTGTTGCTTTTAAAGGCGGAATAATGAGCATACGTTTACTGGAAGCAAGTATACACACAAAACACACACTCACTGAAAGATAATCACACTTTATCTCTCATCTCAATGCCGCTTACGGTGTGTTTTTGTGTTATGTGTACAGTACACTGCAAAAACACAGTGACATTAGCTACAGTATGTTTCTATCCACGTATTTATGCACAGTTTGGAATATCAAATAAAAAATCATTAATGGAGATGTCAAGATGTGCATACATTTAACAAATGTTGATAAAAACTTAAGTCTAGCTCAAACCATATGACTTTTGACATCAGCAGACACACAACATCATAAGATGTTAAGATAAGGTCAGATTTAGTTAGCCAGCATCTAAGGACAATGTTATTTTGACGTCCAATAATGACATCAAATGGCGTTGATGTTTGGTTGATTGTAGGTTGTGTCCAACGTTAAGCCAACATCTTAAACCAACGCCACTGATTTCAAATAATGACAATTATTTGTCAGGTATGGCAACCAAAATTCAATGTCTGATAAACGTAATAGTGGTAACGTCCACACAACATCAAGCTGTAACATCATTAGATGTTGATATACGGTTGATTTTAGGTTGTGTTGGAAAGTGACCAAAATCCAACATCAAGCCAACATCTTAAACCAACATCATAATAACGTCAAATACTGGCATTTAGTCATCAGGTATGGCAACCAAAATCCAACGTCTGATAGACGTCAAAGTGGTAACGTCCATACAATGTCAAGCTGTAACATCAGTAGACGTTGATATTTGGTTGATTTTAGCTTGCATTGAAAAGTAACCGAAATGCAACGTCTGTCCGAAATTGGACATTAACATCGGCAGTGGGTTCTAACGTCAACCTGATTTTAATTTCTAAACAAATTGCAATGTCCGCACAGTGTTGGGGTACAACGTCAATCTGACATCATGACTTCCTCTGCCTGCTGGGGCACTACATGACTTGATTTTGTGTCTTTAAATCGATGTGGTTGT